GCCGTTTTGCGCAGATCGGAACCGCGATCACGGATCTATTCTGCCGTGCTAAGGAAAAACGTCGTATGAGCCTTCAGGCGTTGCCAAATTTCCTTTGGTAAATCACGAATTCTCTTGAAAATTTGTCAATATTTTTCCTCTAATTTTTCACAGAATTTTGTTCACAATATCACCCGAAGTTTCTAAAGATTTCAAGGAAAAAAATTCATAATTTTCCTCGAAATAATCATTTTATCGAAGGAAATTTGGGACCTCTCGAATGCTCATACGGCGTTTTTTCTTGGCACGGCAGTATTGGTCTAGCGTCACTCGTTCATGAGGGCTTCCCTTCGTCTCTGGTTTTTCTCTTCCGGTTTTATGGGTCTTTCTCAAGACACTGAAGAACTTGAAAATTAGGAAATACTCGTAATTTCACGTTGATTCAAATACTGTGCAAGCCAACACTGCCCTGTTAAGGAAGAACGCCGTATGAACATGCGAGAGTTGCCAAATTTCCCTTGATAAAATATGTATTTTTGACAACATTCATGCATACTTTTCCTCGAAATTTTCCGATATTTCTGATTAAATTGCGTATAAAATTGTCTGAAATTTTCTGGGGAAAATATTCCAGATTCTCCCAGTAAATCCGGTTCGTATCGAAGGAAACTTGGCAACGTCTGGAGGTTCATACGGCATTTTACCTTAGCACGGCAGAACACAACCCCTATCAAGTTCAGAACCGGAACCCGTCTTCTGCATCCCCTTCGTCTCCTACGTCCATTGCTCTGTCTCAGTGGCGTGGCGTGAATGATCGATTATTCCTCCATTTGAAGCTGTAGTAAAGAATCGATTTAAGGTGTTCGTTGCGAACACCTTAAGAATCGATCATTTTTCATAGATTTAAATGGCAGGTTAATCGATATATCGCAGAACACGCCACGCCACTGCTCTGTCTATCAATTCCAACCGTCAACCCGCAGCAGCGGCGAAGCGTGAATTATCGATTATCGATGTTCCCCCATTTGAAACTATGGTAAAGAATCGATTATTAAGGTGTTTGTTTCAAACAACCTGTCTATCGATCCTTTTTCTTAGATTAAATGGCACACCAATCGGAATATCGCAAAGCACGCCAACGAAACGCGACTCATACAATTCCCCGAATTTTATAGGTCGCCTTCACCGTGAGTTTTCAGGTTTCTCGGACTGCTGGCGGCCTGATTATTGAAATTTATAACGAAGCTATGGACAAAGAAGACGAGGGGGAGATGAGGCGATCCCAGTGGCGTGGCTTGAATTGCGATATATCGATTGTTATGCCATTTAACCTATGGTAAAGAATCGATTATTAAGGTGTTCGCTGCGAACACCCTGTTAATCGATCCTTTTCCATAGGTTTAAATGACAGATCAATCGATATATCGCAAAGCACGCCACGCCACTAGGCGATCCTATCGGTGACAGAAAATTTTCTTAACTTTAGGCCTAACTAATATTCCTGCTAAAAATGACGAGTAGGCTATTCAGAATTCGCCAACTCACATGAGTCGAACTTCCTACTCATATGAGTAGAAATCCTTCTCATATGAGAAGAAATTCTCCTCATATCACTAGAATATTCTACTCATAAGAGTAGAAATTTTCAATCCATATGAATTCAATTTTTTTCATTTTTCAGAAGTGCTGTTTCTGACCAGGAGACACCGACGTAGTATGTAAATTTGAAAATTAAAAACATTTTGCTCTTATGATTTTTTGGTGCGGTCACTAGTTTCTAAGATATCGAACACGGTAGATTCAACGCTGAATTCACGTGAGTTGAAATCTCTAGTCATAGAAGTTGGCGAAAACTGGATGGAGAAATTCTGCTCCTATGAGTGAAATTCTATTCATATGAGTTGAAAAATTCGATTCATATGACTTTGATTTTCTACTCATTTGTATTCTCCATTTTTAGCAGGGTTAATTTTCTGTTTATTAAACTTTGTTTTTGAGTGTTGCCGATTTTTGGTGCTTAAATTCTCTCGTCACTCGTTCATATGTTCATTTATTGATGTGGTAGTTGCCATGGACAAAGGAGGTAAGTAATAGACTGACTAACGGCAACCCACGAGGGACTCTATAGTTAGTTGTTGAATGTCTTTCTTTTGGAAGGAGGGACCACATAGCGGATATCTCCCCCAGAGACTTAGATGCAGAATAGGAAAAACGACCTGACTCTAGGATTACAAGGAATTGGTTGTGATTCTAACAAGTTGGCAACGTGGAGGGCTGATTATTGAAGTTGATAGACGAACGATTGAAAAAGAAAACAAGGGGAAAATAGAACGATCCTATCTGTGGAAGCGCGTGGTTGCTATAGACAAAGGAGGTAAGTAATAGACTAACTAACGACAACCCGCGATCGACCCTACCCTACAGTTGGTTGTTGGATGTCGCTCGGCCGTGTTCGCGTGTTCGGTGGAGGGTATGGATTTGATCCTTACGAATCGATGGAAAATAACTACGTGAATCGATCGACGTGATTCGATCGATACCGATTCAATCGACAACCGTGAATCGGCAGACAAACCCATGAATTGATCGTTAAACCCGTGAATCGATCGACAAACTAGTGAGTCGATCGACAAAGTGTGTCTTTCGACAAACTAGTGAGTCGATCGACAAGCTAGTGAGTTGATCTACAAACTCGAGGATCGATCGAATCGGTGTCGATCAGTTCACGTTTTTATTTTTACCCTCCGTGTTCGGTTCCTTCCGGTTGAACTGATACAACGATTGGAATCCACTGGGAATGGATTCCGCGCTCGACGAATTCGCCGGGAGAGGGAAGCAGGATCTGTGATCGACGGCGCACAGTGGATCGAGTCAATCAGAGAGGTCAGGCATCAAAGTTTTTACTACAACCGCAAATTTTGAAATTTATTTCGTTATATTTTAAACTATGAAGGGTGTGTCTTAAAGAAAATTTTACGAGGTTACCAATGGAGCCACTTTTAGAACCTCAAAATATCGTATAAACGGAGTTATAAGTGTTTGAAGTTTCCAAATTTTGTCCGACCTCTCGTATTGACTCGATCCACTGTGCGGCGCTCGCTGCTCGCTGGCACGCAGCGCGCGTGGCGTGTTCCCTTTGTCGGCTTGCTCGTGCGACTCCCGGCACTTCCTCCAATACGAACGCACAATGAGCCATTTTTAATTGCCCGCAGATCCGCACCACGGAATTTGACATCTGCACTTTGTTTTGCAAAAAAAAAAAAAAAAAAAAAAAAAAACCTGGAGACATCTCCGGCACGCGGGTGCCGGATGAGGAAGCGATTTAATGTTGCATTGGATATTTTGAGCGTCAATTTTATTATCTCAGCGAAAAAATTCATTTTTTACCTCACGTTGATTTTTTCAGTTGTTATAAATCATTACTTTTCATCTACGGCCGTTTCGGGCTCCGTAAAAACCTTCGGGCTTTAAAAGATAAACGTGAAATATGTCAGCTCGCTATGAAACGGAATTGTTCAAATTATCAATACTTGAGGTGGAACCCTACAACCGTATTTCAGAAAAACCGCCACCACACGTGGCGCTTTGCAGAGATCTGTCGTTTTTTCCATGTTTCCCTGGTAAAAATTGGCGATAGGAGATGTTTTTCAAAATACCATAGGAGTTCTTATAGCCGACTGAAGAAGGCTATTGAAAATCATATAGCTGGCTGTAGAAAGCGGAGCAAATCATATAGCCGGGCTATACGAAGCTATAAAAAAGTATACAGTCGGGCTATAGCTCCTATCGCCGGGCTTTACACTTTATCGCCATTGGCTATAAAAGGCTATAAGAAATTGTGTAGAAATTCGTGTGCTTCGGAAATCATTAAGTTTGATAAGGAACTACCTTTATAATTACAAAACACACATTATATTTTCCTTTAAAACATTTTTTTTTTCATCAATTAAAAAGAGAATAGTCCCTACAGAGTGTGCAAACATGTCAAAATCATGAGTTGAATAACGCTGACTCCGCCAGATTAAATATTAGAGCCTAACACAAAGCGGAGCGGCGACGCACTGGCGCCTACAAACCTAATAGGGATACCTCACGCATTGCGCAATGCGTGAAGTATCACTGTTAGGTTTGTAGGCGCCAATGCGCGTTTCGCGCTCTCTGCCCGCCCGCCGCGCCGAATCGTGCCTTGGCGTCTGAAGCAACTATTTCACACCAGAGGTATTGCACAGTATCATAGGAAATTGAAGGCGCTCCAACATGTTAAGAATGACAGGCATCCTTCAAAAGTACGGAGCTTTCCTCTCAAAATAAATCAAGATACTACGGCCAAAAAATAGAGCAGTATTCCAAAAACTCACTTTAGTAACGTTTAGCATACACAATATCGCCTGGCTGTTGCTTAATCGCCATCGGCTATAAAAGGCTAAAATAAATGGTACAGCCGGCTACAGGAGCTACTGGAAATCTTACAGCCGGCTTTAGGTCTATTTTATTTTGGAACACACATTCTACTGCCAATTTTTACCAGGGTTTTCGATGCAGCTGGGCGATTTTCTCAGACAAAAGCCATACTTGCGAAATTTTCTTAACGCCACTACAAGAACTATAGTATGCTGAGTAGTCACGTACAATCAGTTTCTTTCTGCGATCATTATTTGCGGAGGCTCTATGCACGCGCCGATGAAAGTTCCGATTTCAGCGCGCATTTCAAAATTCCCGCGCGTGCCTTCACAAATTCGGCCGGTTGGCTAAGAGAGTGGGGATCCGAATCTTCATGCCTTGCAATTCTCCCCGGTACCTGCCCTTTCCTCTCTCCCGTCCCAATTTCTTTCTCTCACACGTCATTGGAGCTTAAGAGACTCTCATACGTCATAGGAATTTAAGAGATGGTAATTGAAGCAGAGAATAATCTGTGTAATATTTGCCTAAAATAGGTAATCTTATTTCCATTATTAAAGATTTTTTCAGGGCAAATGATGAAAACCAGACATTAAGCGAATCAGTACTCCAATTAAAAAAGGCTAGTTTATTTTTTCTTTCAATAATTTAGGTGTGAAGAAAAGTTTCCTGGATAGAAATGAGAATAGTTTCACAAGAATGTATAACACCATGCAAAACGTGGCGTAATATATTACAATAACGTCGATTAAGAATAACTGATACCACGGTATGTAAACTGCTAGGGGTTTTAGGTGATGGGCACCATTATGCCGTATAACGTATTCTATCCAGTAGATAGCCGTGTCTAAAGATGACACAGGTTTGTCCGTGAAGATTCTTGAGGCCCTGCTTATGTTTTTCTTGAACCTGGAAAAAATTGATGACTGATCAGTAAACATCGGAGAATTTGTGAATTTTTCCAGAATAAGTTATAGTTTTTAGTACAGGTCAAGACCACGCGTCCAAAAGCTCGGAAAATCTATCTATTATTTTTATTTTTATTTTTGACTAAATCGAAAGTTTGATCCTTCGAATCGAAATTTCTCTTCGACAAACCGGAAATCTCATAAGTTGGGCGATTACTAACTATACATTAATACATACAACCAAGGCAAAGAGAAAATTGAGGGATCCTACTGGTGGAAGCGGGTGATTTCAATATAGTCTAGAGAGTTAAGTAATAGACCAACTGTAGGCAACTCATGAGGGACCCTATAGCTACTCATTCGTCCATAGCGACCACTCGTTCAACCAATAAGATTGCTCCCTTTTCTCGTTGTCATCTTTGTCCATCGCTTTACCTATCAAATTCATTAATCAGCCTACAGTAAAGGCACCTCGCCTCGCCGAGCCGGGTCGCACATACAACAACGCAACGTATAGGAAACAAAAGCGCCTTCAATAATGTGAGTATGCAATAAGGACACGCGCAGAGCACGAATAGTGGTATCCTGAATTCTATGGTAATTTCACAAGGCGCAAAGCTACGACGGCGCCAAAGCATGATTTCGTACATAAGACGGGCAAGTGTGTTTTAGACCAGTGCGCCTTTTATATTTTGCTATGCAGCACGAACACTCTTCGAAAACGGATTGTTGCATCCCACGGTTTATCGCAATTAAGCACGGCGCCAAAAGTTTGAATTGAGCATGGCTGAGAATTTACCTGGGATCTCTTAGAACTGTTTGAATCGCCCAACGCAAAGATTCCTCTGTTACATTTGAGTATGGCAGACGCAGACCATATCCAAAATGCTGCGCATTGGCTACATTATTGTCTTGATCTGAGAAAAAGGGCACTCCTATAATTGGAATGGCGTAGCGTATTGCCTCCATCATGCTTGACACCCCACCGTGGGTTATGAACAGAACGCAATTTGGATGTGCTAAAAACAGAGAGAAATTCAAGATGGATCACTGAACTGGATTGGACGAGTCTAATCAGAATCTACTTAGCTATATCAGACATTGCAAAACTTCATATAATGTTTTATTTTTGCACCAGTAAACGGAAGAACAACCTAAAATTTTGTAAGTATATTCTTCATAATCTGAGGAGAATTCAGAGGGATTTTCAAAGAATTTCGTTGCTCAGCCTTCTGTTGAAAAAATGAGACATGAAAACAGGGCAGAAATTTGGCAACACTGGTTTTCCTCCGTTTAAACCTTAGTTGAATAAGCGATTCTGTGTCGGTTTAAATGTAGTTAAACGTACGAAAAAATGTTTTAATAACTTACCAAGGATGCTTATCTGGTCGAAGTGATCCCTGATATAAACATTCTTTGGTATATCAAAGGCTGTGTGGTTCATATCTGATTTCCATAGTATTATCTGGCCCAACTCTTTAAATACCGTTAAAAATGCCTGGACTGTCATGTTACAAAGTAAACTCGCTTTCACTACTGATCCGAAAGCGAAGTAAACAACTCCTTTTTCAGCTGTGTCCATGATATGTTTCAATTCCTGAAAGCATGAATAAATATTGTTACAAAGAGGAACTCCCTATGCACAAAGAAGGTAAAATCATTGTTTTTTCAATGCTTTTGGAGAATTGGAAGTCCCAGCTACTTTTCGAGTTGTATATACAGGGTGATTCAAGGATATACCGGCAGACTGCAGGAACGTAGTTTATGGTAAAAATAAGACTTTTTCCCTATGGAATTTTTTTTCCGAAAGTTCCTGTGAAGGTGCCAAAGCACCTCCTCAAAATTCTGGGAAGTAAATGGTTTTTCGGGCAACTACTTTTCTTGTTGGCATGGTTCTACTGCTATTAGTAAAATACTCCAGTGATATGAGTAGAATCTCCATCGATGAATAATGACCTAAAACGAATGGGTTAGCTCACCATTTTTGTAGGGTTTCCAATCGTTCTATTTTCAGTTTCACTTATCTTCTTTGTACGTATTCATGAGGTGGTGTTAAGTAGCAAAAGCATCGACAAAAATAAAGGTAACTATTACAGTATGCTTCATTGTCGTGCATAATAAAATAATTTGTGATGTAGCAGAGATTCATTTGCCTTAAAGTAGGAGGTAAAAAATAAAACATGGTAAATATACCAAAGCTCAGGCCTTGCCCACAAGCGCATGGTTCTCGGAATTTTGGTGGAATATGTTAAAGCTGAGACATTACTTATTCCTTCAGGGCACAGGAAAAAGGAGTGAAACGATGCGTAGTTGAAATTTTTGCGAACCTTTGCACGCACGGACTGTAGACAAGATCTAAGAGGGGTTGATTCTGCACCATTCATGGCGCAAAAAACATCCATAAATTCCACGATGACTTTTTGGAAGCAGTTTTATGATCAAGGACAAAAACAGACTATTTGCAAAAATCGATGTTACTCCTCATAATCATACATACATAAAGTCGCTTTTAAAGCGCCGCCTCGCGCTCTGCGACGCCCAATCGCCATTGCCCCCTATCCTCCCAGAGATCATCAGGCAATTGGCACCTTCTGATCTCCTCCTCCACCCCTTGTCGCCAACCTTTCACAGGACGTCCACGCCGTCGCCTTCCGGGAGGAACCCAATCGAAGACCTGCTTGGGCAACCGGTCGTCTGCCATCCTTCGCACATGTCCATACCAGACCAACTGCTTGGACCTGATATCGTGCACGATGTCCTTCTCTACACCCATGATCTCGCGTACTTTTACATTGCGGATACGCTCTCTTCTTGAGATGCCAGCAGACCTCCGCCAAAAGTCCATCTCAGTTGCCCTAAGCATGTCTTCAGTTCTTTTCTTGAGTTGCCAGACCTCACTCCCGTAAGTTACGATACTCTTCACGATGACGTTGTAAATTTTCCTTTTGGTCTCCTTGGAGATACTCTGGTCCTAGAGAACCCCATTCAGCATCGCGATAGCTTTCCTGCCTTGCACATTCCGATCTTTAATAGCCCGATCCAAATTTCCGTCCTTAGTTAACCAAACTCCTAGATATTTATACTCTTCACAGTCCTGAATTTTCCGACCATCCTCCAGTTCAATGCTTTGCTGATCACCACCGATAACCAACTTCTCCGTCTTAACCACATTTACTTCCATTCCCCACTTTCGGTATACTTCCACTAGCTTCCGCGTCATGTAATTCGCATCTTCTTCGTCCTGAGCTATTACCACCTGATCATCAGCAAAGCACAGAGTATAAAGGGTGCCATCTTCACGTAGCGGGACGCCCATTCCCGAACAGCATCTTTTCCATTCCTTTAAAACTTCTTCCAGGTACACTTTAAATAAGGTTGGCGACAAACAACACCCTTGTTTCAGTCCTTTAGTAATTAAAAACCCCAACGATAAGTCCCCATGCGATTTAACCCTAGAAAAAGCCCCACCATAAAATTCCTTAATAGCACTAATTAGTCCCCCACTAAAACCCCTTTTGTTTAAGGCTTCCCAAAGTTTCATCAATGGCACACTGTCGTAAGCTTTCTGGAGATCCACAAACACTAGATGTAATTCCTGGCCAACTCCCTTCTTTTTCTCGATGACGTGGAATCATTATCATTTAAATTTTTACCTTGTCTAAGGGCGCAGGTTCCTTGAAGTGTGCGCCCGATAGCCTCATAATCATTATCATTTAAATTTTTACCTTGTCTAAGGGCGCAGGTTCCTTGAAGTGTGCGCCCGATAGCTCAACAACATGCGGAGGATACAATTTAGCCCCGTCCAAAGCTGTGTTGCCGGTCAGAAAAAATAGCGAGATATTCCGGAGCATATCCGTGATGCGAGGAAGTGGACCTGGAATATGTTTGGCCAGCAGGGCATCATGCTGTGGGTAGTACCAATATTCATCGTAAAGCATCTGTGCATAAATGGTCAATGCATTCTCCATTCTCTGGAGAAAGCTCATTTGGCCAACATACGGAAAATGCCTCAGTGGCAAATACGCAACAGAATTCGTCAGGCCGGTGTGCCGAAGTATTGCTGGTGCATAACCGTAGCTACAATACGTCACCACGGGGGCTTTGAAGAGGTGTCCTAGGATGACCAGAGCCTCCTGCCACATGAACGCCTCCGTGAAGATCAAATCGAATTTGTTATCGCCATGAACTAGATCTTGGAAAACTTGAGACTCGAGAACCTGCGGTATAATAATGTCACCCATCGTTTTGCCCAAATTGATTTCCCTTAATTCATAAAGGAATGGTGTATTGAGGCGCCTCTGTTCTAAGAACTCGCGGAGAAGATCGTCTGAGAAAAAAAAATGGAAAAATTATATGAATTTATAAATGTATTTTTGAGGAAAATTATTTTGTTAGAAATATCTTCCACACTTTTATACTGATATAAATATCAACTGTGAATCTATAGGAGCGCTTGTCTCGTTCGGAGCGTTTCAAAATCTCCGATCCTAATTTATTTTTTGAAGGAGAGCAAATCGACTTTGCCCCTTAAAATAATCGCAGAATTTTCTTCGCTCAGAGAAGAATTTTTTCCAGAATTACACGTATTCATACTAACAGGAACTAGAGACGTGTGGAAAAGATGGAGTAGCCGTCACGGAAGCCTTAAAATACGTCTAAATAGGCTTAAAAATTAATTAGGGCCGGATTAAGGGGGTGGTCACATGGGTCGCGGCCCCTGGCGGCAAATCTATAGGGGGCGGCAAATTGTGCAATTTTTTTAAATGTAGGTATAAAAAAAGATAGGATTAAGAAAAAAAAAATTACAAACGAGAAAAGGCGACAAAATCTCTCACTTCCTGAGAGTATAGTAAATTCTAATTTTGCTGTCTTTCAGTGATACAAGAGAAAGAGACAGCACCTTCAATTAGTCGAGTTAAGAGAGAAACCAAACACGCAATTTGGCCTGGAACGGCGCGACTTGGAGATAAATGGCCTTGAGATCGGCGCGATCGGCATGTAACACATATTAGCGCCTACAAGACTGCACGAATACTTCTCGCATTGCATCAAACACAGTACGGTCATTGCGGTCAGCGTGAAACGCATAGCGCCTACAAGACTGAGTGAATACTTCACGCATTGCGTCAAACACAGTGCGTTCAGCAGCGGTCGACGTGAAACACATAGCGCCTACAAGACTGAGTGAATACTTCACGCATTGCGCTAAACACTGTGCGGTCAGCGCGGCGGGGCGGCGGAAGTTAAAATCATTAATCCACATTTATGTTTGTTCTTTCATAATCTTTTCGTTCATTTCATGTAAATGGAAGGTCTTGTCCACACAGAGATAGGTTTTCGAAACTTAACTTTCGCGCAAAGTTCCGTGAGCTTTTGCTAGTAGTGTTGGCAGGGCTTTCCCAAAAAATGTGTTCAACACTAGTAAACGCGTCTTATGCACTCCTCCCCCGCTGGCAAGTTCATTTGATGGTTTTTATTGATGTTTCAAAACGAATGAGAAGGAGCGGCAAAATACAGGCGGCGCATGGGCGGCAAGCAGGTAAATCCGGCCCTGCTTAAAATTTCAAAAAAATTTTGGAGGAGACCCCCGCACCCTATTTTGGACTGAGGGGTATTCCATACCCGCCCAGACCCCCCGGTGGTAGAGTGGCCAGGCCCCCCTAGCTATAGATCGAATGGATCCATTCGATCTATGTTAAAAATACTTGCATATATCTCGTTAGAAGTTGATCACCGAACCAACCGTTGTGTAAATCGTTTCTTACGTAAGGTTTTCAAGAGGAAAAATTTGACATGTTTTTTCCAGTTCAGATCTTGTAGAGTTGCCCGTTGAACATAATGAAAGCACCTGAACTATGTTATTAAAAAATGTAAAATCAAAGCTATCATAGAGGCATCTAAGCAGCATAATTTCGAGAAGAACCGAGTCCAAGCTTGAGAACTTCCATCGCGCTTCTCATAACTGAAAGCTTGAAAATTGTGCGAATAAGAAATATCCCAACCGGAAAAACAACTTGTAATCTCAATGCAAAATGAAACATTTGATTTAGTGCAATGTAAAATTTTGGGGGAAAACAGACTGGGGCTGATAAACTTTCACGGCGTCAAAGATGGTTTTATGAAAAAGTATTATACTGATGACAGTGGCGTGGCGTGCTTTGCGATACATCGATTGATCTGCCATTAAAACCTATGGGATTGTATCGATAAACAGGGTGTTCGCAGCGAACACCTTAATAATCGATTATTTAACACAGCTTTAAATGGGGAAATATCGATAGATCGAAAAGCACGCCACGCCACTGACTCATAACCACGTTAAAATAAAATTCAGACCCTTGAGCTTATTTTGAATTGAACTTGGTATCCTCACCTTTATTACCCTGTTGAAATATCTCTGCCAACAGGAAGTAATGTCGAAAATTGTCCGTCTGATTCTTCGGTGAAAATGGGCTAACAACGGTAACATTGTGGCCACGGTTTGCCAGGGCATGAAATATTGGCTCTACTTGGATGTAATGACTCCAGAATCGGGTAGGCAAGAACACGAGAATGTTGTCGGCATGGCTACCACAACTTAAACTGATTGCGACCACTGTAATTAAGAGTTTCATTATATCGTCTTGTGAGAATTAATTTGTATTATAACTGTTCCGTAGGTATTAAAAATAATAAACTCGAACAAAATTTCGGATCGTTCACCTTGCATCGCTTGCTAAAGCTTCCCGTGGGCAGCACAGTTTACAGAGATACCCTCTCTCATATTCGTGGAATACTGGAGGCTCGCAATGTTTACTTCACCTCAAATCAATTCCGAATTTAATTTTTGAAACTTTATGGTAGGCGTAATATATTAGAAAGTAATTCCTTGGAATAGCTTTTATGTAAGATATCTGGATGGGATAAGTTATTCACCAATACTTAATTGTGATTACAGTAGCACAGAAAGGTATGAATTTTATGAGGTGATGTTACGTGTAGCGGATGATGTGTAGATCTATCACTAAATTTCTTGAGCTACAAAAGACATGAAGCTTTTGAGAAGAGTGGAGAAATAATGACACTTGACCGACCAAAATTTGTGAGGAAAGTTGGATGCCAAACTGGGCAGAGAATTTCTGGCTGTTACCGAAGAATAATTTCTGATTATTAGATTATCACAGAAAGTAACAGGTATTACACATAAGGTTACAAAAAAATTATCAGGCGAAAAGCTGATATCCGCCTTCAAGCAACTATGCAACACACCTCTAAGGTAGGTGAACTCCTTTGATAAATCTTTAGAGCATCGTTCAAAAAACTCACAAGCTTAAAGATAAAAGTAATTTTATTGATCTACAAACTGATTGAGGTGTTCGAGAGGGTGGGAATTCTCATGGTGATGATGGATATCGAATGATAATAACTGCATGCAGACAAACCAACTGTTTCCTGACACGCAAGAGCAATATATTTATTCCCATTATAGGTGCCTCTTATGAATTTCTGTGGAAAAACTGAAACAATGCAACCATGCAAAAAAAAAATGATGTTTCAATAATGAAAAGTGGATAAGTCTCTGAGAAGACACTCAAGATTATGCGTTGTATAACCTACCCCGAATTAAATTAGGCTCTCATAAGATACCGACTAAGTGGCCATTGAGGAGAATTAGGCAGGTTTTATAATTGATTTGTCGCATTAATGTACAGACCTTGCTGTTGGCTTGAAACATGATAAAGAAAGGAATCTGGAAAGCTACAAACAAAAACTATTGAATTCAGAAGAAAACAAATAATAAATTAAGTAACGTGTATCAAGTTTCATATACCTGGTATGTGCCTGTTACGAATTTCATCGAGAAATAACACACGTCGATTACCTACTTAAAAATTTTGATTTTTTTTTCACTACTTCAAATAGCTCACAAAGACTAATCCTGCGCTAGTTGATGCAGTTTATAAACCAATCGAATAAAATGACCACAAGTAGGGAGCGCCCAAAGACAGAGCAGAAGATTCAGCGCATAAGAAGAGTCAGAGTACACGCTTTAATGAAAATAAAAAAAAAATGATTATTTAATCATCGAAAAATCCCTTATCTCATCAAAACATCAGTCTAGAAGTAATTTAATGCTCAAAAGGACCCAAAGAAGGACCCCTAAATGTTTTCATAATTCAGTCTCCTATGACATGTTTCATGCATAAAGCACCTGGTTTGGCATCGAAAATTTCGCGCTGCGTCAAACGTCGATGTCAACACCTAGATGCAACTATTCGCACTCAGTGGATGTCCATGTTGCGTGCGCCAGAAATGAAGGCGCTCTGGCCAACTTCACTTGACACGCCTTACGGCGCGATCGTAACTTGTGCTTTGTTTCATTATTCCAATACGATTTTGTTTCTTCCGTCCGTGTTTTTGTGAATCTAACGTCCTAGTAATTTAATGGATGGAAATTGAAGCAGAGAATAATCTGGGTAATATTTGTCTAAGGTAATCTTATTTCCATTATTAACGATTTTTTCAGGGCAAATGATGAAAACCAGACATTCAGCGAATCAATACTCCAATAAAAAAATATTCTAGTTTATTTTCTCTTTCAATAATTTAGGTGCTAGGAAAAGTTTCCTGAATATTAATGAGAATAGTTTCACAAAAATGTACAACACCATGCAAAACATGGCGGAATATATTACAATAACGTCGATTAAGAATAACTGATACCACGGTATGTAAACTGCCAGGGGTTTAAGGTGATGGGCACCGTTATGCCGTATAACGTATTCTATCCAATAGATAGCGGTGTCTAAAGATGACATTGGTTTGTCTGTAAAGATTCTTGAGGCCCTGCTTATGTTTTTCTTGAACCTGGAAAAAATTGATGACTGATCAGTAAACATCGGAGAATTTGTGAATTTTTCCAGAATAAGTTATAGATTTTAGCACAGGTTCCTCACGCCACCAAAAGTTAACTCAGAAAATTAACACATGGACTCTGCCCAACAGTGCGTGGCAGGAAAATATGAAGACTTTAATTTTATCTTTCGTAATAATCACGCTTTTTCTTTTTTTTTCGATAATATTTTTAACCAAATCGAAAGTTTAATCCTATGGACAAAGATGGCAAAGAGATAATGTAGGGATTCTGGTGGAATCGAGTGGTTAAAAGAGACGAATAAAGTCAGTAGTACACTAACTAGCGGCAACCTATGAGGAGCCTTATACCTAGTCCATCATTTTGCCTCTTAGCCTATGACAACCACCTGCCTCGACCAATAGGATCGCTCCATTTTCCCTTCGTCCTCTTTGCCTATAGATTGTCTATGCATTTCACGTATCAGCCTGCAATGGAAGCGAATCTACGCGCACGATCGTTCCAGTGGCGTAACGGACTTCCGCTGGGCCCCCCTGCAAAATTTTTTCTAGGGCCCCCCATGTCGATAAAATTCCAAAATCATCCCCCCTCCCGCCCCTTTACTTCCCTCACCCCTTCCCGTTTTTTGGCCCGAGAAATTTCAAATCACGGACTTGGACTTGGAATGCCTCTCCCCTCACTGTCCCGGATCCCGTACCCGATTAAATGGGGCCCCTAAAGGATCAAGGATCTAAAGGGTGGCGGGGGCCCAACCCAGGCCCAAGGATCTACAAAAGGGCCCATGCAGGCCCAAGAATCGAAGGGCCTAGTGGGCCCTTTAGATTCATGGGTCACCCAAAGCCCGAAATACCTACGAAAAGTGACAAAATAGAGAAAAATTTTAGTAATCAATGAGTGGACATTGGAAAGCAGGGGTCCTTCAGCAAAAAAAAAAGTTAGGAACAGTCCAAAAGAAGTATGTAAAACCCTGAGCTAACAATAAAAATCAGCGGAAGAAGCCCCATCTCGGTAAGTAAAGGCCCAAAGTTTGAAACCAAAGCTAAGCGTCAAAGAGACGGAGAAAAACAAAATTTCGGCGGCCGAGGGCCTGGAGGGCCCCCTAGGCGCTTGGGCCCCCCTGCATAGCAGGGTCTGCGGGGGCGCCCGTTACGCCACTGGATCGTTCCATACACCTTGCGTCTTCTTTGTCTATTATTTTGTCTATCAATGTCAACAATCAGCCCGTAGGGAAAGCTTAAAACTGTGGACACGGAGGAAAAATTCCCAAAGTGCTTGTCGGGATATCCAGTTAATAATTTCGTCGTCGGAATTCATCATTGAGACAACCGGTAATTCCACCGTGCCAATGAAATTCTGGTCGCGCGCCGCGCCGGCTGGGTGTCGCATGTAGAACAACGTAAAGGAAACCAACGCGCCTTCAATAATTTGTGTATGCAATGAGGACACGCGCAGAGTACGAATAGTGGTATCCTGAATTCTATGGTAATTTCACACAACGCAAAGCTACGACGGCGCCAACGCATGATCTCGCACATACGTGGGCAAGTGTGATAGAATAGATAGCGCCTTCAATATTTTGCTATACACCTCGGACATTCTTCGAAAACGAATTGTTGCATTCAACGATTTATCACAATTCAGCGGGCGCTGCCAAATTGTATTGATCATGGCTAAAAATTTACCTGGGATCCCTCAAAACTGTCTGAATCGCCCAATGCAGTGATTCTTCTGTTATATTTGAGTACGACAGATGCAGGCCGTATCCAAAATGCTGTGCGTTAGCTATATTATTGTCTTGATCTGCGAAAAAGGGCACTCCTATAATTGGAATAGCGTAGCGTATTGCCTCCATCGTGCTCGACACCCCTCCGTGGGTTATGAAAAGAACGCAATTTGGATGCGCTAAAAACAAAGAGAAAGTAAAGATGGATTACTCTGCTGTGCTGAGGAAAAACGTCGTATGAACATTCGAGAGTTGCCAACTTTCCCCCGATAAAACATATCTTTTTAAGGAGACTTAGCGTTTTTTTTTTTTTGCTTGACATTTTCAGATATTCTAGATTGAATTACAAACAAAATAGTCTGAAAATTTTGAAAAGAATTATGCAACATTTTTCGAGAAAAATTAGGTTTCATTGAGGGAAATATGGCGATGTCTGAAGGTTCAGACGGCGTTCTTCCTTAGCATGGCAGTACTAGACTGGATCGGACGATCGGACGAATTTAACAGTGGCGTGGCGTGAATTGCGATATATCGATTTTTGCCATTTAAAGCTATGGTAAAGAATCGATTATTAAGGTGTTCGCTGCGAACACCTTGTTTATCGATCCTTTTCCATAGGTTTATATGGCATAACGATCGATATATCGCAATTCACGCCACGCCACTGGAATTTAACCGGTTTCTGTATGACTATATCAGACGTTGTCTACTTGTTTCTCAAGATTCATTTTTAGTGTATTTTCCAAAGGAAAAATACACTATTTTATCAGGAAACTGACCTCATAGTTTGTAAATATGTCTATGGCCAAAGTGCGAAACCAAGTATCTCCATTTACGACGTTGCAGATTTCATGTCATATACTTCATGGTTTTCTTGAATAACTATTCAACGTAATTCATCGAAAACTTCCTCGATTATTCTTCTCCATTAGCATTATATCCTAGACAAATTCAAGGTATGTTGGCTTGTTTCTCCTCGAAAAATAAAATAAAATGCAGGCACTTTGAAACACCGTAATAGAGAAACGTGGTTTCGCATTAAGCCATTCATATCTTTCACAATCCGAGGAAAATTCAGAGAGACTTTTCGAGAAATTTTGTTGTGTATAGTTTTCTATTGAAAAAATGAGACATGACAGCGGGATCCAGCGTTCGCAAAATTGGATTTCCTCCATTTGAACCTGTGTTGAATAATCGATTATTGTCGGAGAACCCGCAGTCTGATTGTTGAAATTTTGTGTTTGTCGGGTAGACATAGATGACATAAGTTAAAAGGCGGAGCGTGATCGGTCGGCTATGTCTTATCGCTGTTTTGTCGTGCCTTTGTCAGGTGAAATGGACGACTTACTGTCGGAAACTTAGGAGGTGCAGTTAGCTTGTCGAGCGTTCCACCCGACACAGGCACGACAAAGACATAAGCCGATAAGACATAGCCGACCAATCACGCTCCGCCTTTAAACCTATGTCATCTATGTCTACCCGATGAACACAAAATTTCAAAAATCAGGCTGCGCCTCTCCAAGAGTTGACACATTTCCACGGGCTTAAACTGAGTTAAACGTACGAAAACAACTTCTATAAACTTACCCAGGATGTTTATCTGGTCGAACCGATCCCTTATATGAACATTATTTGGTATGTCAGAATCAGTGTAATTGGTATCTGCTTTCCATAGTACTATCTGGTCCAACTCTTTGAATACGGATAAAAATGCCTGGACGGTCCTCTTACGAAGGCCACTCGCTTTCAAGACCGATCCAAAAGAAAAGTAAACCACTCCCTTTGCCGCTTTGTCCATCATACTTTTCAATTCCTAGGATCATGAATAAGTATTGTTACAAAGAGGCCTATGTACAAAGTAGGTAGAGTCGTTCCTCTCCCAGTGTTTTTGATGAATTTCAGGTCCTAACCACTTTTCTTGTTGGACCCTCTACTGATATCAGTATTGTACTCTAGTGATATCCTAAAATATAATTTCTGCTGATACAAATTGCCCAAAGACAACTGGTCCAGGTCACAATTATTTATAGTAGGGTCTATAGTGGTTGTATTTTTAGTTTCACTAATATTCCATTTTACGTATACACATATACTAGCCGTTCTGGACGCGCTTTGCGCGTCCAGAACGGNACGGCCAGCCAAGGGGCTGCGCCCCCTGGACCCCCGATCACTCGCTACGCGAGTGACATTCGACTCGCTCTGCGAGCCATTTTTTTCATTGGCTGTGCACTGTTTTCATTGGCTCTCATGAGGAAAAATGTCACTTTCTGCTGTCTTGCCTGAAACTACGTCATTTTTTACGCACTTACGGCTTTCTCATGTGTCTAGTTTTTATACAGTTAAGATGATTTGTGCTGTTTTAGCTATTACATTGATTTCATCTAAAAAAGATTATACGAATTTTCAAGGAAACTCGATTTCGAAAATTTGACACTTACTTCTCTCTTTGATAGGTATCAAGGCAGTAATGTTAATACCAGTGGCGTGGCGTGCTTTGCGATATATCGATTGATCGGCCTTTTGAACTTACGGAAAAGGATCGACAAACAGGGTGTTCGCAGCGAACACCTTAATAATCGATTCTTTATCATAGGTTTAAATGGCAGAACAATCGATACATCGCAATTCACGCCACGCCACTGGTTAATACCTTGTCTAAGGGCGTAGGTTCTTTGAGGTGTACGCCTGATAGCTCAACAACATGCGGAGGATACAATTTAGCCCCGTCCAAAGCTGTGTTGCCGGTCAGAAAAAACAGCGAGATATTCCGGAGCATATCCGTAATGCGAGGAAGAGGACCTGGAATATACCTGGCCAGCAGGGCATCATGCTGCGGGTAGTACCAATATTCGTCGTAAAGCATCTTTGCATAAATATACAGCGCATTTTCCATTCTCTGTAAAGTGCTCATTTGACCTGCATATGGAAGATCTTTTAGTGGCAAATATGCAACGGAATTCGTCAAGCCGATATACCGAAGAATTTCTTGTGAATAACCGAAGGGACAGTACGTCACTACGGGGGCTTTGAAGAGGTGTCCTAGAATGACCAGAGCCTCCTGCCACATGAACGCCTCCGTGAAGATCAAATCGAATTTGTTATCGCCATGAACTAGATCTTGAAAAACTGGAGATTCGAGAACCTGCGGTATTATTTTGTCACCCAACGTCTTTGCGATGTTGACTCCACCCAAAATTCGCAGGGGTTGTTTTTGTTTATTGATGGCTTCCTCCATTAGCCATTTGAAGAAGTCTGTTGAGGAAAAACGAAAAAAAGCATGGAATCATAATGTATTTAAAGCCTGGAGGAAATGAGGATGATAGGAACTAAACCTTTGACACCTTTAAAAAAATTATGTTCCGCAAAATAGGCTTTCCTTTGTTCGAAATTTGATCGGGGAGATGCAAATTCCGAGAAATTTCCCAAGAAGAAAAAAAGTTTTGCCACTTATCAGCATTATTCAGACCTCTGAATTTATTTTGAATTGATTCCTGAAATATGTGTACTTAATTTTGAACTGTGTGCTACATGCGTGCTTAGTGTTCATACCGTGGCCGGATTAGCCACGGTGCTGTAGCTCTACAGGCCCCTCTGAGCAATTTGTTGTTCTACCACCACTGTGCTTTCTTTATTAGTGGGCTTTCCTGTGTTCGAAAGAGCNGGTATAATAGTCTACTTATGCACCGGACTAATAGTCCAATATCCTTGATTTTAGCACATGAAACTGGAAAATTGGCAACGCTGTACAGCCTAAACCAGGGGTCACTTCAAGTTGAAACTTTGCATGGAAGTTTGCCTTACCATAGGCTTTCATTTGAGCGCTGTCCGGTTGACCAACTCGGGTATAAAAAAAAGGGGCTAAACTTGGCGAGGCTCTTTGATCGGAGTGATGCAATTCCGAGAAGAAGCTGTCCAAGAAAAAAAAAAATAAAACTTTTTGCCACTTTTAAGTATTATTTAGACCTCTGAACTTGTTTTGAATTGGTTCCAGATTTTTCTGAGGTGTCAGTCATGGATTTTTATCTATGGATCTACGCAACTTTCTTCAAATGAGTTATCCACTCGTACGGGAAAATCGGATTAGAAATCCGACCAGATCCTTTAAGGGCACTTGAACTTTAAAAGAAAGAATTAGAAAGCTCCTAAGACTAGAATTTTTGGTGTCATAAGGCCCATAAATAATAGGCTTTTGGGCCCCTGATGACAAGTGGGGTCTGAGAGCCTGATGGTACAGAAGAGGGCCAGACCCCCTGGACTCCCCCTTCGTTTGTCTATGGCAATTGAGTTGAGCCATGAGCCATGAGCCATTGAAGTCGAGGATGCCCAGACTTGAGACTCTTAGCATCTGACGACGGAAGAAAATGAAACGCAGTTACTAAAAATATCCCTCTGTACTGAAAATCTTGAAAATAGATAGAAATTTTCCAAGAAGTATACTTCTTTGAAAATTTAAAAAGAATTCTACAGTGTCCCAGCGTGTTTCTGAAAATCTATTCATCTTTTGCGAAATTTTTAGGGTGAATTTTTCACTTTTTCTTACGAAACAAGGGTTGCATGTGAATTCGTAGTGGTTTATAACGGGTTACACGGGCCCCCTCCGGGGCCCGGGCCCCGGTACCAGGGCCCCAGTATCCCCCCCCTTGTGGCGGGCCTGCCTTCATGCACGCTGGGCTTGTCGATTTCCTTTGACATTTCTGCAGTGGTGAATGCATAGCTGAAGTGCGCTACAGCTAGAATTGTATATAGCAAATGGGTAATTTTTATAGGAGGATTATAAACAAACAAGTGGTTAGAAATGAAAACAAAATACTATGAACTATGCAAAACGATAATCCGGGTATCGGAACTTGGCTGATTTGAAAACGCCTTCAAATGCGGCGTGATACCTCACGCATTCCGGAGAGTTCAAATAGTTGTATCATTGCGCCTTAGAAATGCGACGGAAGATTACAATTGAAATAGCCTTCATGCATGCTGGGCTTGTCGATTTCCTTTGACATTTTTGCAGTGGTGAATGCATAGCTGAAGTGCGCTTCAGCTAGAATTGTATTTACAAGTGGGTGGTTTTTCCACGAGGATTAAAAATAAACAAGTGGTTGGAAATGAAAACAAAATACTATGAGCTATGCAAAACGATAATCCGGGTATCGGAAGTTGTACCCGCAAGCACTCTCGGTCCCTGATCGCTATCTGGCCCTGGTTCTTACCTTCGGGTCCCGCAAAAGGGTCAGTCGAGAGATAGTAATGTCGCAAATGATCCATTTGAATCTTCGGAGGAAATGGGCTGACAACCGTAACATCGTGGCCGCGCACAGCCAGGGCCTCAAAAATGGGCTCTACTTGCATGTAATGACTCCAGAGTCGGGCAGGCAAAAACACGAGAATGTTGTGCGCATGACAACCACATCTAAAACTGATCATAACTACCATCACTAGGAACTTCAAAATCATAGTGGGGATTTATTAAAATTGCTCTGTGGCGATTAAAATATTTAACCGGAGTAAAATTAGGAATTGTTCATTAGCTGGACAAGCTGTTCTTGTGTGATAGAGTTTACAGAATATTCCTTTGAAATTGGTAGAATTTGCTGCCTATCAGGTTTTAACACGCACGTCAATAAGTAATAACACGGGTCGTTTGTTGCAGAAATTGTTCTTCGTCGGCATACGCACAAATTTAGACACAACTAAATGCTCACAATGTTGACTTAAATTTCATGCAATATCAGGAACGTTGTGGTAAGCTAAGTAAACTAGGAAGCTATTCTTTAAGACAATCCCGATGTAACCAATCTTAATATTGGATAAATTAATCTCTGTATTTAATAGCATTCACAGTAGCACAAGAGAGGAATGATTTAGATTTTCATGAGGTTATATTGTGTGAATGATTTCGGGAGCTACGATTTAGAAGTCTGAAAAATATATTATATAAGGGCACTCGACCTACCGAAATATGCAGAGAAACTTGGGTGCCAAACCGTGCAGAAAATATCCCTGCGTTAATGAAAACTGATTTTTAAGCAATAGGTAACACGAAAAGTCGCCGGCAAAAAATTGGCCCCGAGACAAATATGCAGCGAACTTCGGGGATCCTTAATAATTTAGAGCACGATACAAAAAACTCGCTTGCGTAAGAACTAAGAGCAACTAAATTGATTTTGGAACTAGGGACATGCATTCAGGATACCTACTAATAATTTAGGGTATCCAGACGGATAAGAGATACCACATTCAGAATAGGAATCAAATGATAGGAACGACGGACGAATCAATTTTTCTGTCTGATTTCTGATTCACGAGAAGAATCAAAATGTTTTAATCTGGTATCCCTAATTTGATATTCTGCGAAAAAAAGCTGAAACACTGCAACATTGCAAATAATTCAATGTTTCATTGGGAAAAGCTTGATAAGCTCAAGAGTCACTTAAGATTGTACGGCATGTAATCCTCGAATCAAATTAGGTTCTCACATGATACCAGCCGACCACGTTATCGCTAAAGCGAAATATTCAGGTTTTAATATTAATGAATTGCATCAATGTATAAAGGCTGTGCTGTACACAGGGTGATCCATAAGTCGGGCACCATGCGTCTAACCACTAGGGCTCTTGCTACTTTTCAGGATGATCTGTGGCGTGGCGTGCTTTGCAATCTATCGATCGTTATGCCATTTAAAATCATGGTAAAGAATCGATTATTAAGGTGTTCGTTGCGAACACCCTGTTTATCGATCATTTTCCATAGGTTTAAATGGCCGATCAATTGATATATCGCAAAGCACGCCACGCCACTAAGGATGATACTGTTAAACTTTTCGGAAGTCTTAAAAACCAGTTTCATTGACCTCGAAGTACCCACAAAATTTAAAGTCTCTATCTCAATTGGTTCAAAAGTTACAGGGGTGTTGCCTGATGGTATAGTGGTACGGGACTTTTGGATCAGTCGCGTGGTGTACTTAGCGATAACTCGATTGATCTACCACTTAAACCCATAAAAAAGGATCTGTACACAGGGTGTTCTTCACGAACACCTTAATAATCAATTCTTTACAATAACTTCAAATAGGGAAATATCGAAAATCGATCATTCACTCCTCCCTACCGTTATGGACCACTCTCTAGATCAGATCGTTTCAGCCGATGAGAAGAGGAATAAGGGGACATGCTAAAACTTTAATTTTCTTAGCTAAAAAAAATTATTCATGTTTTCAGAAAATGAATGCTAAACGAAATAAATTGTACTGAGTTTACCATATTTTGTGCCCTTCCATCCTAGAAACAACCGCAGCCGTTTACCTCAAAATTGTTGACATTGGAAGCTGTAGCTTTAAAGCCAATGATAGCTTAATAGTCAATGATGTATTAATAAATAGGGCGCGAGCGTAGTTGGTTTCATTCATTTAATAGGCGATAGCTTAACTAATACGCTCACAACTCAGTGTATCGCTTATGTATCGATAGAACTGTGTGTTCCTCGGATAGATAACCGTTCGCGCTCCTTGATGTGTTTGTTGCCTACACGACAGAATTGAAGGCGACTTTAAAGGAGGCGATACTTGCCAATACTGCCGTACTAAGGAAAAACGCCGTATGAACATTCGAGAGTTGCCAAATTTCCTACGATAAAATGTTCATTTTTGAGGAAAATCGTGAATAATTTTCCTTGAAATTTTCAGACTATTTAGATCAAATTACAAGCAAAATTATCTTAGAAATTGGAGGAAAAATATTTAAAAAAATTCCTGAAAATTAGTGATTAACCGGAGGGAATTTGTCAACACCTGAAGGCTCATGCGGCGTTTTTGCTTAGCACGACAGAATAGCTCTATTTTTTCTATATATTTCCAGCAAAACTGGAGCAAGATGAATGTGTATTATTCGGATAGATACATTCGATCGCGCTTCGTGGTACGTTTTTTGCCTACGCCGCGGAATTGAAGGCGAATTGGACTGCATTTTGCAATTCGGACCTATAAATTCTGGCTCATCTGAAAAAACACTTATGTGCATAGGAAAACTAATGGCACATACGTTGTTTTTAAACCGGGCCGGAATTTATAGCTCCTAATTGCAAAATGTGGTCCAATTTCAAGTGGACGACATTTATCCATACGTTTACGCACCTTTTTCGGAGCTGGATCTATGTCAGACTTTTATTGCTTAATAAGGACTGGCGAGGGAAGTTGGGGGAGGGGGGGTGATCTGAGAGGGAGCGTTGTGTCGACTTTTTGGGGGGGGGGAATTTGCGTGTTGTAAAAAAATTTCGGAGCCCTAGGACAATTTGCGACCCTGAAATATTTCCTTTCCTGAGTTATTTTTATACATAATATTCTCCTGATAGAGGAGAAAAATCGCAATGAGGTTTTTAAGGAATTATGCTGACCAGTATTCCAAAGAAAAAATGAAGCTTTCAGGAAGTCTCCAACGTCACAAACAGAGACTCGTAGTTTCGTCTTTCGTCCATTTAAATACCAGATTACGTTGTTTTTTACCGTTTAAAACCTCTTGAAATAGATCCCTCCTACATTCGGACTGCAGTTAAATGACTGAGCTCAAAAAAACCGCCACCGTTGTCACTTGGGTCTTGAGACCCACGAGAATACATGCATGACGAGGACCATGTTAAAACGTAGACAATTCCTTTTGCTTTAAATGAATCCAATTGTTTTGATGCTGGGAATTGGGAATAAATTGACTTGTTAAAAAGGTGCCGGTCTTTCGTGCGTCCACATAACGTATCAACCTCATGGAGTTCAAGGCCTCTTCAGATTTGTGACGTCGGTAGAGCGGGAAGTGGACTCAATTGGTGGGTAGTGTGCTCGGATCTCGTGTTTCGTCGTTTTGTTTTCACTGATCGTTTAGATCTTTAGTTTAAATAATACAATATAAGAAATTTACATTTACAATTTACGAATTTGTTCAATTTTACTATCGTCTGGTTTCCTCCGAATTTTTTGAGTGTTTTTTGTTCTAAATATAGCAGATCGTTCTTTGGGATGATTCACATCATCTCGAGTGCTGTTTATTGTGAGGGGATATTGGTTTATTAGTGACCTCTGCGCACTCGATGTATAAATCGCGCACTTTCCGTCCACTTTTTTTTTTTTTTTTCAGTGTCAATGAATCTCGCCAGACCATAAAATGAAAGTGAATTTCAATTGGAATGGTTTCCGAATACGTATTGAACTGCGTTGAATTTAATGGCCGGAAAATGATAAAACCCTGATCATTCATTATTAATATTTATTATTTGTTTTACCTGAGATTCCCGGAAGTGCGGACTTTGATAGAACGCGAGTGATTGTAACCTTGGAGATAAGTGACCGATTCTTGATTTTTTCTTTTGTGTGTGTGGGGGTGAATGTGAGAGGGTGTGAGTGTGTGTGTCGCACTGGGTGGTTTTAAAATTTTCAAGGAAACACTCGGATCCGTAGTAATGTTTTGCCTGACAACAAAACTGCACAAGAAAAATTTGGGGAAAAAATTTGGAAGAACTTAGTGACACTGGAAAAATTATTATTGACTGACATATTTCCTACGTTTTTTCCTGATCTAGGTGTCGATATTTGTCCTCGTGCAATGCTTAATGGAATGTTATACGTCGGTATAACAGTAATTGATAAGTGTTGAATAATCTATATGATTTATTTTTGCTAAATAGAATAATTTATGAAAAAAGTCCTCTCAATCCGATAAACCAAAATGAGAACGTGGGCATTGTTGACATGTGCTATAATATTCCTGTGCGGTTTTGAGGCAGTACTTTCGGCCAAAATTTTGTTTCTATTTCCGCTTCCGTTCGCGAGCCATTATCGAATTTTCACTCCCCTCATCGACGAACTCGCCTCCAGAGGTCATAACATCACCGCTTACACATCCGAATATTTCAAGCGGAAAGATCCAACGCCGAATTTCAGAGAGATAGTGGTTCATCTTGGTCCTGACACCCCTAATATTGATGGTACGTTCTCTTGTGATCTTCTACCTGCGGGCCGATCACTGAAATTGATAAACAAAGCTATACACTGAAAAAAATTTCTTGGCGTTTTTACCAAGGTCCGTTGGTATCTTTACCATCTCAATTTTTTTCCAATTATTGGTAATTTTACCTAGACAGACTGGTGAGCTTACCTAAAAACCGGTATTTTTACTGTTTTTTCCAGGTAAGAATACCTCTTTTATTGGTAATAAATTCCCGGTAACTTTGCCATTTTATCTCGGTAATTCTACCACAGTCGATATAAAATATTGGCGTTTATACCAAGGTCCGGTAAAATTACCGATTCCATGAATGGTAATTTTACCAAGAAAAAATGGGATCAAATAGAACCCTGAATTCTTGGTAATTTTACCCTTTTCTTAGTAAATACACCGAGATTTTTTTTTCAGTGTGACAAAGAAGAAAAAAGAGATATAGAGTGATCCTATTGGTGGAAACGGCTGGTTGCAATGGACAAAGGAGGTAGGTAATAGACTAAGTAACGGCAACCCACGAAAGACCCGGTGGTTAGTCCATATTTTCTCCCTCAGTCTATAGGAAGCACCCATTTCAATCAATAGGATCACCCTGTGCTCCTTTTTTTGTCTATTGCTTTGTCTATCAATTTTAAAAATCAGCCCGTATATACTGCCGTGGCAAGGAAAAACGTCGTTTGAGCCATCAGGCGTTGCCAGATTCCCTTCAGTAAAAACCGAATTAACTGAACACTTTTCTAATGTTTTGCTTCAAATTTCTCAGACGATTTTGTTCGCAATTTGATCTTAAATATCCGAAAATTTCAATGAAAAATATAAGTAACTTTCCTAAAAAATACATTATTAATATAGGGAAATTTGGCAACTCTCGAATGTTCATACGGAGTTTTTCCGTAGCACGGCAGTGTAGTACTTACATTTGGACTATATTTTGCAGTTAGGTACTATAAATTCCGGCCCGGTTTAAAAACAACGTATGTGCCATTAATTTCCCCATGCACATAAGTGTTTTTTTAGATGAGCCAGAATTTATAGGTCCAAATTGCAAAATGCAGTCCATTTTATGCAACGTTTGATACATAACCTATGATATTGAAATATTTACCGAGGGATTTCAAACATGGGTAAACAAAGCTAACACGCTAAAAAAAGCTATAAGGCAGGTTTTCTACCGATTTTCATTGACTTTTTATTTATTTGTCCTTGGAATCTGTGTCAATCGGTTCACGTTTTTATTCTTCTTTCGATTCATTTCGATCCAATACATACCCTTCGTTACATGCAGACTTCCTGTCATACTCTTTTTTTCAACTGAAAAATTCGCCTTCATCTGCGTCTGCAGCAATTGTTGTTACGAATATGATGTGCGTGCTTATTATAACTCATTACATACTCGACTCCTTGAAGGCGTTTTTTGTGCACAAGTAGCGCAATCTATCGGAGAACGAACCAAGTAGGGATCGATCGCTTCGTTTTATCTCACTTCTGTTGTTCTCCAACAGGGTGCTCTACTTTCGCACATTAAACTAAACGCCTTCGAAGAGTCACGTATGTAATGAACTGAGATCAGCACGCACAACATATCCTTAACAACAATTGCTGCACACGCAGATGAAGGCGCATTGAAAACAACCGAATAAAACAAGTTGTAAACGATGATCTCACATGGAACTCTTCAATTAATATTGTCACCAATAGAGATTTGTATGTAATGGTTATTTTATGGGGGATTCTGGAAAACATTTTTAACATAAACTAAAACATGAGAAATGATTGATGCTCCGCAGCCCATGACAAGTCATAGAATAATAAAACAAATTACACAGCGGGTATCAAGGCTAATTTTCACGTACATATCACAAAAACGTTTCGGCTGAAAAGACAGCCTTCCTCAGTTGAATAAAACAATACAAAATTGTGAAAATCTAAAAAAAAGTAGAGCTTGGCTGTACCTTTCAAAGTGAGAACAATACCGTCATGCGGTATTCTCTCGGGAGAGAAAAGTATTCTCTTGGGAGCGACAACTTTTCTCTCGGGAGGGAAAGCTATATTCTTAGGAGAGAAAAATATTCCCTTGGGAGAAAAAACTATTCCAGGGGAGGGAAAACGATTCCCTGCAGAGGGAAATTATACCCTGGAGAGAAAAAAATTTTCTTTCGGGAGAGAAAACTGTTTACTCGGGAGGGAAAACTATTTTTTTGGGAGGGAAAACTATTTTCTTGGGAAAGACAACTATTCTCTCGGGAGAGACCACTATTCCCTCGGGATAGAAAACTATCCTCTCGGTATGGAAAACAATTCTCTCGGAAGATAAAACTACTCTCTTGGGACAGAAAACTGTTCTCTCGGGAGAGAAAACTGTCCTCTCGGGAGAGAAGACTGTTCTCCCGGGAGGGAAATCTATTTTCTCGGGAGGGAATACTATACCCTAGGAAGAGAAAACTATTTTTTCGGGAAAGAAAATTTTCTTCTCGGGAGAGAAAACTGAAAACATAACTGAGTTTAAATGCAAAATAAAATATACCGCGTCACAAATTTTCGGTCCTAAAAAGTCTTCCTACAAATTTGTTGCTTCGAGGTCGTTTTAGATTCGCCTTCAGCTGCGTCCGCAGCAATTGTTGTTACGAATATGTTGTGCGTGCTGATCTCAGTTCATTACATACTTGACTCTTCGAAGGCGTTTGATGTGTGATTCCTACTTGGTTCGTTCTCCGATAGATCGCGCTACTTGTGCACAAAAAACGCCTTCAGAGAGTCGAGTATGTAATGAGTTATAATAAGCACGCACATCATATTCGTAACAACAATTTCTGCAGACGCAGAAGAAGGCGAATTGTTCAGTTGAAAAAAAGTGTGTGACAGGAAGTCTGCATGTAACAAAAGGGTATGTATTGGATCGAAATGAATCGAACGAAGAATAAAAACGTGAACCGATCGCCACAGACTCCAAGGACAAATGAATAAAAAAAAGCCGATGAAAATCGGTAGAAAACTTGCATTCACTATGAAAATTTCAAATTGCGGTATCTCGAAATTCGGATCAGCCAAGATTTTGATTTTTCGCGATTTTAAGCAATTTTGAACCGTGTCTCTTCAGAAAAAGGTTGGTCTTAATATCATGATAAAAATTAGTATAGGTAATACACACTACACAGATCCAAAACTAAAGATAAAGAATTAAGGAAATACGTGCTGAGCATGAAGTAGGATTACCCCCGTGTATTATTTCTGGATTTCTCTCCATTACGCACCAAATTCCTGGAAAATACAGATGTTTCTTAAAAATGTGCGTCTCTAGACTTATTATTTTTAATTTTTGGACAAATTTTTAAGTTAAAGGAAAACCAAAGTGATCTCTGGATCTGCAACATGAAGTTAATCAACCTCTTGAAGTCATATTTAAATGTTCCTCAAATCCATCATGTTTGAGGAGACGCGTCAAATGGGGTTGGCCCTCCCGCGTGGAAAACTTTCTCAAAAGACGACAAATCCCTTATATATTAGGAAGTTCTCATCTTTGGACCTCTTTCCCTCTTCCATGCATGGGGGATTTTGTATCGCGGATCCAGGTGGCGGATCCAGCAAATTGGCAACACCGTTTTTTCTCAATTTAAACCTATGGAAATGTATCGATTCTCGGAGGGGTCAGGTGCTCCAGCAAGAATCAATTATTCAACACAGGTTTAAATGGGGGAGAGCCAGTTTTGCTAAATTGCTGGATCCGTCTCTGCATGAAACATTTCTGGCTATGCCATTGTATTTGAACTTCATTTTGCAATCAGGGACTACAATTTCTGACTCAGATCAGAAGCGACGTATGCGCCACTAGTTTCATTATGCACAAAAGTGCTTTTACGGAAAAGCTAGACATTTTAGTTCCTAATCGCAAAATGACGTCCATTTCATCCTAAAGTCTTTCCTACGTAGTTACCTTCGTAACTAAACCTACATAGTTGTGCGTTGTGTCGAGGCTAAATAATTCATGCACCAAATTTGGCAAGGAAATTCGACGTAACAGAGGCAGGCTTTTTTCAGAGGAAAAATATCGTATTCGATACTGATATCAAACTGCACTCGAATAATGTATTTTTTCTCTAAAAAAAACCCTGCCTTTGATACGTTGAATTCCTTTGTCAAATTTGGTACATGAATTCTTAAGCCTCTTGACAACAGAAGTGCGATCTCAAAATTCGAAAAAAATGACAAGTAGCTGAAATTATGGAACGAGTCGATGCGATATATCGCACGTCGCTCCGATACAGCAATGGCAACCGTCGAATCACCTTAACTTCTAACCTTGTCTCATAAGTTACGTATTAGTTATGTATTGAGTTATGTATTCCTTCCTCGGTCAATTGCATGCTCATTTTCTCGTTTTAATTTTTACATGTTTTAGCTTCTGTTCCAGTTGAGAATGGGCATGTAATTGGCCCGAAACGTCCTGGTTGTTTCATGTCTCCTCTAGCCTTGTATACCCATTTGTTTTTTGTATTTTAGTGTGTTTTTATTGTTATGTGCTAATTGTTTCTCAAACTCAATGTTGAACAGATATCGACGTGATGGAACTGGGAAGGATGTCCATCGTCCGGTCCACGATTCAAGAAGTGGCCACTTTCTCGGCTGTGACCGAATCGGCCCTCAAAAGCGCCGAATTGCAAGATCTGATGATGTCCGATGCCAAATTCGATCTGATCATAATGGAGGCGACATCCGTACAAGAGGCCCTCCTGGCTTTCGGTCATAAATTCGGAGCTCCAATCGTGAATTTGCACCCTTTCTATCTCTCAGTGGGTATGGGGTTGATGACCGGGACCCCTAACCCTTTGTCCTGTGTCCCGGATTTCCGGGTGCCTTACACGGATCATATGAGTTTCCTGGAGAGGACGCACAATGCCCTCATAGGGCTCTTCGATGTGGTTTATGGGAGTCTTTGGCATGTTCCGCGACAAGAGAGTATAATGCGGAGGAACTTCAAGTACCCGGGTTCGAATATGCTGCCCCCGCTCGAAGAATTGTTGGCGAATATTTCCTTGCACCTCGTCGACGCACACCCCATGATGTACGTGCGGCCGTACAGCTTCAATGTCATCGATGTGGCCGGAATGAATATCAAACCGGCGCAACGGCTGCCACCAGTAAGTTTCTTTACGGAAATGGGTCACACTGAAAAAAAAATCTCGGTGTATTTCATTTTACGTCTCTAGTCATACCTACGCATGTACTTTTTTCTATGTTTCGAGATGTCACGCGAGCGGACCCTCGTTTTCAACGCACTGAAAAAAAAATCTCGGCGTATTTACTGAGAAAAGGGTAAAATTACCGAGAATTCAGGGTCCTATTCGATCCCAGTGTTTTCTTGGTAAAATTACCATTTACCGAGAAATCTCGGTAAAATTATTGACTTTCTCGATAATTTTACTGGACCCCGGTAAAAACGCCAATATGTTTTATCGACTGTGGTAGAATTACCGAGATAAAATGGCAAAGTTGCCGGGAATTGATTACCAATAAAAGTGGTATTCTTACCTGAAAAAACAGTAAAAATACCGGTTTTTAGGTAAGCTACCAGTCTATCTTGGTAAAATTACCAATAATTGGTAAAAAAAGTGAGATGGTAAAGGTACCAACGGACCTTGGTAAAAACGCCGAGAATTTTTTTTCAGTTCACCATAACTTCAAATGAGGAGGTATCGATAATCGACCATTTACGCCTCGCCACTGTTTGTGATTGATTTTTTACTCTTATGAGTACTATAGCGCAGTGTAAACCCTGGTAAAAATTGGAAGTAGAATCTGTGTTCCAAAATACCATAGACCTACAGCCGGCTGTAAGATTTCCAATAGCTTCCATAGCCGGCAACACAATTTTTTATAGCCTTTTTTAGCCGATGGCGATTAAGCAACAAACTGGATAAAGTGTATGCTAAACGTTACTAATTACGGATGCTAGGACTTCGTGAGTTTATGAACTACCGCTCTCTTTTTGGGCCGTAGTATCTTGATTTATTTAGCGAGGAAAGCTCCGTACTTTTGAAGGATGCCTGCCATTCCTAATATGTTGGAGCGCCTTCAATTTCGTATGATACTGTGCAATACCTCTGGTGTGAAATAGTTGCTTCAAGCGCCGTGGCACGCTGCGGTGCGGCGTGCGGGCAGGCAGCGCGAAACGCGCACTGGCGCCTACAAACCTAACAGGGATACTTCACGCATTGCGCAATGCGTGAAGTATCCCTGTTAGGTTTGTAGGCGCCTGTGCGCCGCCGCTGCACTTTGTGTTAAGCTCTATTATTTAATCTCGTGGATTCAGGCTTTTTCAACTCATGACTTTGAAATGTTCGCACTCTCTGTATGGATTTTTAATTGATGAAAAAAAATATGTAGTAGAGGAAAATATAATGTGCGTTCTGTAAATATTAAGGTGACTCCGTGCAAACTTAAGGATTTACAAAGCACACGAATTTCTACACAATTTCTTATAGCCTTTTATAGCCGATGGCGAAAAAGCAACAGCCAGGCGATAAAGTGTAAAGCCCGGCGATAGGAACTATAGCCCGGCTGTATAATTTTTTATCGCTTCGTGTAGCCCGGCCGTATGATTTTTTCCACTTTCTACAGCCCGCTATATGTATTATTTTCTATCGCCTTCTTCAGTCGGCTATAGGAACTCCTACGGTATTTTGAAACGCAGCTCCTATCGCCAATTTTTACCAGGGAAGTGAGATTAGTCAGTCGCACTGGTCACAGAGTCGTTTTTTGGAGCTTGATTCTTGTAGATTAGCTAAAAATAATGCGATTTGTCTAAACAGCAACTTTCTACGTTCATATATAAACCGAGCTATTGCCCTTAGAAAAGTCGGGGTTTGACGCCATCCATCACGGTAGTGACACCCTTAATTGGTTTCTTCCAACTTGCGTTCATCAGTCGGTGTGACGCAAATTTGCGCTGGTTGTTCAACGTTAAACTTGGATGAAAGCAAGGTAGAAGAAACCAGGGGTGTCACTACCGCGGTGGAGGACGTCAAAAACCCGACTTTTCTAAGGGCGATATCTCGGTTAATATTGACGGGAAAGGGAATGCTCTCTAACTCATGAGCCCTGGCCACAACGTTCTAGGAGTATCGAGATACGCATTTCTGCACTTGCACCATCAATCAATTGAATTTTATATTTTTGTAATAGAACTAGGAAAAATGGCATTTTGAATCGCACAGAAAAAAAAAGATCGACTTGAAGTATTTGTCCGAAATTTTTGGCGTGGTCAAACTGAGCGCGCGACCTATCGTATCGATTAAACCAAGAATCATTTAAAAATTGTACTTTTATTTTAATTAACATACATTACATATATCAACATACAAATAAATCAAAAATAGGACAAAGTGCCAATGTGCTTAGTGTTTAAAACGAAATAGCTGTACATAGGCTTTCAATATTTATTCTTTCTCTTCATTTTCAGGACTTACAAAAGTTCATGGATGAAGCCCCAGAGGGCGTTATATACTTCAGCCTTGGATCGTATATACAACCGAATATGCTCAGAGAGCATGTTAGGCGTGCTTTTGAGGAAACATTCAAGAAAGTCAAATATCGAGTCATTTGGAAACAATCAGAGCCAATTGAGGGAGCAACCGAGAATATTCTACAGAAGTCCTGGTTACCTCAAAATGAAATCCTCGGTATGAACTATATCAAACCTATAATTATTCATAGGGTACATTTTTATCGAATGGCTCTGGTAGCACGAATAACGAAAACTGAAATAAAGTTGCAATTAAATAAGATGAACTTGCAATATTTTTACATAATTTTTTTTTATAAATCCCGAATTGAAAAATTCATCAATTCAGTTCATGTCTTGGACAGATAGGCAACTTGCAATGCCATAAAAGGTTGCAACTACTGTAATTTCAATTTCTTAGCATTAACTTTGAATAAAAAGAGCCCCTTAAATTAGTAGGTAGGCAACATTCGTGACACTCGTATAAAGTAGACTAAATAATGTAATCCTACAATCGTAATTAATAGCAGCCTCTAGTGGGTGTACTAATGCAGTCCTTGTTCAAATGTTGCTTTTGTAGTACCGATGATTTTGGCACCGAAAGCATTGTTACTGGTACGTAGCACGTAGATACATTATCACAGGGGTTGGAATAATTGGTATCACAAAAGTTGTTATAACATTGCAACGAGAGTGTGAAAGTAGGTTGGACCAAGAATCCACTATAAGCATTTTGAGAGTACCAATTATTTTCATTCTGCGAATGGCACTTTGTGATACTTTTCCCGGAAAATTACCATGAGAGAAAATCGGAGGATGAGGGCCTGCCTCCTCCAGAAGTTTTATAACCTCTCAAGAAATGTGAGGGATTTTACTATGTAACTACGTGACATATCTTTCATCTTTGAAATTTTATCGATCGATATTTCGGTGAGAGCGGTTAAAAATTGCTCTTGAGACGACTAAATTTGGCTTTATTTTCTAGGGGAGGCCCCCTGGACCACAAATTGGTGCTAGGAAACTCCCTCTTACCCTCCACAAAGTAGCATGTCTCAACGGAAAAATCGCGATATATTGCGATTTTATCGGCGATAAAATCGCCAGGATCATCAACATCTGAGCAATTACCTTCGATCTCATCGCGATAAAATTGCGTTTTTATAGCCCCACAATTTATCGCAATATTTTCGAGATAAAAATCGCGATCAATGTCGATCTAATCCGATTTTATCGACAAAAATTGATCACGATTTTATCGGACCAAAAGTTGCGATGTGTAGCGATTCAAAACCCATATGTCGCAATTTTTAATGCGATAATATCTCGACATATTGCCACCTATATAATCGCGATAACCAATCGATAAAATCGCTATTTATCGCGATCACCGCCACGTGGGTCCTTCGAAACACTCCTCAGACCTTCCCTCGATGGGCCCCGTCTGTCCACCCCTCCCCTCACTAAAAGTTCCTAGTTCTACCCTTGAGGATTTAACTCCGTGCTGTGATTTGTTCCTTCTGGTTCCAGCCCACCCTAAATGTAAACTTTTTGTCACTCACGGTGGTTACAACAGCCTAGTCGAAGCCATGACTGCTGGCGTTCCAGTGTTGGGACTACCGGTATTTGTCGATCAACATCATAATGTGGCCTACTATGAGCACATGGGAGTTGGATTAGGTGCTGATGTCGAGAGTCTTACCGCTGAGGAATTTTCCGAAAAAATTGAAAGAATCATCAACACACCATCGTAAGTAACTAAACGCACTGAGAAAAAAAGTTCAGTTTTATGAAGCGTCATGAGAGAGCAAATCGGAGTTCAAATGAATGAGAATGATGAATGAGTCAAGATGAAAGACAAAATAATTTGTCGATACAACGAAGACAAGTTACATAGATTAACAGATAAGATAAATCGTCTGAGCTCGGGACGGAGAGAACAGAATTCTAAGAATACGTCTTACACGGAGAAAAAAGTGTGATCCCCTAAAATTATGGTACTACCCCAATTTGTTGGATGATATGGACATTTTTAATTAATTCTATTATTAGTACCGCAACATTTGGGTTAGTTACCTAATTTATTGGGGCACTACCATAATTAATTGGGGTACTACCAAAATTAATTGGAAATGTCCTTATCATCCAAGAACCTCGTGCTTTTTTTCCGTGCAGATTCGAATGCAGAACATCCATTTTTAATTTAGGGGCTTGGAGGACAATGCGCAAAAGTGCAGTTTTTGAAAATTTTGAGATATTAATGATTTCAAGTAGGTAAAATTAGTCTTAATGCATATTCCATGAGGATTCGATCCCAAATTCCAATTTTGAAGTATCAAGAAGTCAATTTCAACTTTCCTCCTGCCAAAAGTATCCAGGTAACTTCGAAACTTCAAACACGTGTTCTCGAAATAGCAAAAACAGCACTTTTGCTCCTTGTCCTCCAAGCCCCTTAATTTACCCTCTCATACACGGAGAGAAAAAACTCGTGCGTGGGACCCGAAGTTTAGGTCATATGGATCTGTGAAGTTTTCAGATTGAGCATCTGAACACTTTAGGTCTTGCTGCCGAGGTTCGGATCATACATCTGAAACTTTCATTCTTACATCTGAAGTACTTCAGATGTGAGAACCGAAGTACTTCGGATGTGAGAACCGAAGTACTTCGGATGTGAGAACCGAAGTACTTCGGATGTGAGAACCGAAGTACTTCAGATGTAAGAACTGAAGTTTCAGATGTGCGATCCGAACCTCGGCAGCTAGACCTAAAGTGTTCAGATGCTCAATCTGAAAACTTCAGAGATCCATATGACCTAAACTTCGGGTCCCACGCAAGAGTTTTTTTCTCCGTGTATAATGTGATTTTTTTATTTTTCTCTTTTTTTGACAGGTTTGAAGAAAACGCGAAGCATGTGGCCAGAATTTATCGAGATATGCCCGAAACGAGTTTGGAGAGAGCAGTGTGGTGGGTCGAATACGTTCTGAGACATAATGGGGCTCACCACCTGAAACCGGTGTCCGTATCCATGTCTCTCTTCAAGTATTTTCTCCTGGATGTGATTGCATTTTGGTTATTTGTCGTAGTGATTGTTATCTACATCGCATACAAACTTCCAGTTGTAGCCTTTAAGAAAATCAAGAGCAGAGCTGCCCGAAAAAAATAAACAAATGAACAAGCCTCAAACGTGGTTTTCGTTTTTCGTGTAGAGTTAGTATAGCTGTCATTTTGTGACCAATGTAATCAGGGCGTTGGAATAGCACGGGAAAATCGAAATTTTTACGTGTGAATTTTACCAAAATTCATGGGGACCGTCAGCGTCCATAAATCAAGTCAGCAGAACTGCCGTGTAACGGAAAAATGCCTATGAACCTTCAGGCGTTGCAAACTTTCCTATGGTTAATCATGAATTTTCGGGAAAATTTTTCCTCCGCAATTCTTCAGATGATTTTGTTCGCGATTCCATCTAAAGTTCCTGAAAATTTCAAGGAAAGATATTCATAGCTTTCCTCAAACATGAACATTTTATCAGAAGAAATCTGGCAACTCTCATATCGACGGTGAAAGTCGGCAATCACATAACTCGATTTGCGACGTCGCAGACTTCCTGTCATACTTTATTCTTTAAACGGAAAAAAACTTAACGGTAATTCCTTAAAACTGCCGTGATTTTTCTTCTATGTGCGAGGAAAATTCTGCAAAAACTGCAAGGAATCATGTCCATTTGTTCTCCTTTAAAAAAATAACATAGTTACGGAGATTTTCAGACACCGCAAACGAGTTATGTGATTGCCGACTTGCACCGTCGATATGTTCATACGGCGCTCTTCCTTAGCACGGTAGTATGGAGCACCCTTACAAATAAGACGAAGGGAAAAAAACACAATACATATGGAAATTAAGCCAGGGGCAGGACGCGCATTGATTACGGCGCACAGATACAACTATTCGTACTTGATGGATGTCCGTGTGGCATCTGCAAAATTGAAGGCGCGATGGTGTGAGATGAAAACTCGCAATGCTCCGCTTTACGCAGCCAATGGGGTGGCGTTCAGATTCAGGAGAAAAGTTAAAACACGTGGCCCAATGGGTCTCAACTATCTTTGGCAGTGTTGCTTACGTACCCAGCCTGTGAAGCACCCTTACATAGAATCAAAACGGAAACAAACACAATTTGGAAATAGAGCCAGGGATAAGGCAACTCTCGAATGTTCATACGGCGTTTTTCCTTAGCACGGCAGAGAAGAGGATGATGGGGTGTCTGACAACTTAAGCCGCTGTAATGGATAGACCAAATCGCAAATCGAACCAAAAAATTACAAAAAGAGCGAAATTTCTTCTCCATCCTTCAAAATCGTCAGTTTGCAGACAGGCGGCATTGTTTCTTAGCTATCGATATTCAATAGAGAATATTTTTCTTCTCTTTAAAAGTTAAATTCTTTTCTCCGCTGTTGTTTCTTAGCATTCCTCATTTTTGCCAAAAATCTGGAGAAGGGCCAGTGGACCAGCTCAATCTGAGGTCATTTTTAAGGGGATCTGCAGATGCACTGGAAAAAAAAAACCACATTGGATCTAGAGTCCAGACTCTTGAAAACATTGATAAGAAAAAATACTCTTGATTCGATCGGATTTTTGCTTGAATCAAAACGAAATCCGCTTAAATTAAGAGGCTTGGTTCTTGATTTAAGCTAGATTCTGATTGAATCAAGAGTACTTTTTTTTTGTCGATGTTTTTAAGAGTCTGGACTCTGTAGATCCAATGTGTTTTTTTCCAGTGTGCATAATGGGTACCGAAATGATGGAGAGGAAGGCCGGAGAGGGGGGGGGGGGGTTCAAAACGTTTAAAATAGTACCTGGCGTCACCATTGGATGACCTGATAAAATTCAGCTATCCTCTCTCTCACTGATGAGGGAGACTTAATTTATAAGCACCATTAGTACGAGCAGTTCGATGAAGTAAGATGAAAGAATAAAGAAATCATTTTCTAAAAGGCCGGAAAAAGAACATCAGTTTACTTTTGCTTTCGATGATTTGGTGACGAATAAAAGTCTCAAAAATAAAAGTGAGATGACCTGTTTAAAAATGTATAAGATAAGGCAAAAAGCGACGAAATATACGACAATAACGTCCAAAAAGAATAACTGGTACCACGGCATATGAACTGTCGGAGGTTTCAAATGATGCGCACCGCTGTGCCGTATCACGTATTCTATCCAATAGACAGAAGAGTCCAACGATGACATCGGTCTGTCCGTGAAAACTTCAGACGCTGTTTCAACATTCGCTTTGAACCTGGACAAATTATAACAGATAATAGTGAGATTACTACACTGAATTTGCAATTTAATGAGATAAAATTGCAAGTTTTACCATAATATTGCTCTATATCTTTACATCATCTAGTAAGTAAATACCGTTCGCAAATGATTAATGAAACATGTTTAATTTCTCAAAAACTTAGGCGAATTGCAATTCAAAAAAAAATTGCGACTCATTTCCATTATTACGGATAGATGAGTTCTAACATGAGGAGCCCCTTCAATTACTGAATAGGCAAATCACACAACACGTCGATATAGAATCAACATTCCGATGTAGAATCAACACTCCTTTACCGTGTAGTCCCAATTTAACCTGCCTTAACCAGCCTGTGCTACTTGGGTTGTTCCATTTTTTACCCTCTTTACTTATTTTTTTTTGGCATTTTACCTTAAAATCTCGATTATTTTTAGTATCAAAGAAGTCCGTCTTTATCGTGTAGTCGCAATTTAATGCGATCTGTGCTACACTAAAAAAATAGCTCTGTTCACAGGGCTCCTGCACTTCTTTTGTTCCAGTCACAGAAGCTTCCGTTGTGAGGACAGAGTACTCTGTTCCCACGACCGAAGTTCTGTTCTCTTAACGGAAAAAATCTGTAAACGTAACAAAGAAACTACAGGATCCCTGTGTGAACGGAAGGTTCTGTCGTCAGCGTCATCACTTGTTTTCTGTGTGCTTGAGTTGTTCTTTTTTACCCCTCTTTACTTTTTTTGGCATTTTAACCCTGACATCTCGAAAATGTTTAGTATCAAAAAACCTGAAAACCTGAATGGTCGAAGCTGCGAACTCACCTAGGATCCCTCAAAACGGTCGTAATCGCCCAACGAAGTGACTGTTGTGTTAAATTCCTGTACGATAGGTGCAGTCCATAGCCCAAATACTCAGCATTCGCGGCGTTAATGTTTTGATCCGCGAAAAAAGGCACCACTATAACTGGAACGGCATTCTTTATTGCCTCCATCATGCTTGATACGCCTCCATGAGTTAGGAACAGAACGCAATTGGGATGAGCTGATAACAAAGAATCTTATTGTTATAACAGGATTGTACGGTGGCGTGGCGTGAATTATCGATTATCGATATTTCCCAATTTGAAGCTATGGTGAAGAATCGATTGTTGAGGTGTTCGTGGCGAACACCTCGTTTATCGATCCTTTTCTCCAGGTTTAATGGCATATCAATCGATGTATCGCTGCTATCGCAACATAGATAGAAATTTTTACGAAGCAGCCCGAGACAATGGTAACAGGACAGAAACAAGGTGGAAAACGGGAAACGAAGCTAAAATCCCCGCTAACCCCTGCTATAATAAAACCCGAGATATTTTGACTCAAAACTACGATCTCCGATCTCGGCCACCAACATGTCGGTCTCAGGTTTTCCTTCGATATTTTTTAATTTTCTCTTTATTTTCTGACTGAAAGGAAACTTTTAAAAGAGGGTATTACTTACCTCAAAAAAAAAACAAAAAAAAAAAACAAACAAACAAACAAACAAACAAACAAACAAACAAACAAACAAACATAAAACCAGAAATAACATGGATAATACATACTTCAAAAACTATCAAAAGTAATGTATCTCAAATGTGAGTCAATTTGACCCGAACTGAGATTTGGCGTATAAAAACGTATTGGTATCTAAGGGCTCAACATTTTTAGGTCATATTGCAAATACTGGAGAACATATCTGGCTGTGCATTTCTAGTTTGCGGCTGGCAAAAATATGTACGCGTGTGATTGCATGCGCTGCGTCTGTCTCGGAAAAGAATTACATTTTTGGGATAATTTGTGCACAAACTCATTGACGATTGAAACAATGTGAATAAAATTATAAGCACACCTGCCGGATGCAAATCCCTCTTTTTCGTACCGGGAAGAGGTACACAAAAATAAGACAATCAAGAAGAGGAGGAAGAAATTATAGTTTTCAATCTACCGAGAACTGTTTGTAAACTATAGAAAATAGCGGTAGATCTTTAACATGAACAGCTACTGATTGTAATGTTTCTTGAATGTTTTGAAGCATCCACGACTGGATTCAGCTGAAAAAAACACTTCTGTAAACAGCAATGGAAGTTTCAAAACAGGAACCTAACTTACCCAAGATGCTTATTTGGTCAAACCGATCCCTTATGTAAACATTTTTTGGGATATCCCAATCGGTGTATTTTAAATCTGCTTTCCATAGTATTGTCTGATCCAACTGTCCAAAAACAGTTAAGAATGTTTGCGCGATTTCCTTACGGATATTACTTGCTTTCAGCAGTGTTCCAAAAGAAAAGTAAATCACGCCTTTTTTCGCTCTGTCCATGATATCATTCAATTCCTAGGAATAAAAATTAAAATTATTATAAAGTGAATTTTTTTTTCAAAATATTTTGACTGATGAAAAAAATTCCAGGCGAAAAATAACATTTCGCAAGTTGGATGCACGATAATTTTATATGCTACCAGGAAGGTATGCTGCATATGCGGCAAAATTGAAGGCAACTTGAAGTCGGCTAGGCACTGTTTTCATTGGCTCTCCGGAGGAAGAATGTCACTTCCTGATGTCTTGCCTGAAACTACGTCATTCTTTGCACACTTACGGCTTTCTCGAATTTACGACTTTATAGAATTAAGATGAATTTCGCTGTTTTAACAATTTCGGTGGTTTCATCTAAAGAGATTAGACGAATTTCGAAGGAATCTCGATTTCAAAAATTTGACACCCACTGCTCTCTTCGCTATCACGGCAGATTTGGTTCACACTTTCCTACACAGAAGGGGCTCGGAATGGACCGTTTATGGATCAACTGCATTTGCACTTCAGTACATTGCGACTCCATAATACTCTATAGTTGGATTGCATTTTGCAAAAAGGAACCGAGAGCATTCAAATGTCGCTACGATTGTGCAACTTTTTCTACCTTACAAATAAAAATTGATAATCTAAATAAGTTGTATCTTTACTCTTACTAAACTATAAAGTCAAGAAGAAAATTACCTTCGTGAATATAATAATTTGTAAGAAATCGGTGATCTTATTGCATCACTGAAAAAAAAACTCCGGCCGTGGGAGCCGCAATAACGGGCTGTATAGACATACCGGCCGTTCCGGACTCAAAGGCCGAAAATTCCGGCTGCTGGAGGCGTAGCTTCGATTGCTCCGGGTTCAGAGGCCGAAGTTACGGCTCCAACAGCCGGAATTTTCGGCCTTTGAGCCCAGAACGGACGGTATGTCTATATAGCCCGTAATTGCGGCTCCCACGGCCGGAGTTTTTTTTTTCAGTGAAAGAATGTAAGTTGCTCATTGCTCAATCCTAGCAATATTGGTGCTATTGGTTCCTGTTTGCAACATGCAATCCAGTTTACCTCGTCTAAAAGCGTTGGATCCTTGAAGTGTATCCCAGATATCTCAATAACATTCGGAGGATATAGCTTAGCGCCTCTTAGTGCGGGATTGGAAGTAAGGAGAAACAGCGACGTATTCCGTAGCATATCCGTGATGCGCGGAAGAGGCCCTGGAATATACTCAGCAAGCACAGCGTCATGCCGCGGATAGTACCAGTACTCATTGTAAAGCATGACCGAAAACTGGATCAGCGCATTCTCCAGCCTTTGCAAAAGGCTCATCGGACCCGCATAGTCGAGTTCGAAATGCGGGAGGTATGCGACCCCATTTGCAGCACCGATGTATCGAAGGATATCCGGGTTGTAACCGTATGAGGCGTAAGTCACGACCGGGGCTTGGAAGATGTGCCCGAGAACCGCCAAGGGCTCGAAACCGAAGAACAGCTCCGTGAAGATCAAGTCGAATTTATTGTCGTTCCGGGTCAGGTCCCGGTAGACTGAGGATTCGAGGACTTGCGGGATGTTGAGGTCGGCACGGATTTTCCAAAAGTTGATGTTGAAAAGCCGGTTGGTTAGAGTCCATTCCATCCAGTTCGGTGGTGCTGAAATATTAGACGGGCTCATAAAATCGTCGTTTCCATCACGAGGGAACGTAGCTACATTTGGACGTATTTCCATCAAAGAGAACTATGTGCAGAGGGAAAGATGGGGTGTGCTCGTTGGTGTACTCGGGCCATAAGAATGAATGGGAAATATTAAGCGCCAGTGACGTCAGCGGCAACGACGAGAGAAACGACGATCGGGGCGGTCTTTGACTCATGAGCCCTGTCCACAAGGCTCTAGATACATGCCCACTTTTATGTTATATTTTTTATATATGGCTTTAAAAAGCTACACACAGTTTATGTGAAAAGTTTCCCCGAATTTACCTAGATGATCTCAAATAAACGAATCGAAAATTTCGACGCGATATTTTCGTTCGTTCTACTTTCTTTTGATGAAGCCAAAATAACTTGACTATCATCCGAGTTTCTAAATCGTCACAATCAAGATACATATTTTCCCTTTAATTGTGGTAAAATCTGGAGCAGAAAGTCAAGAATGATGACACGTAGTCCTACAGCATTCCTACAGTCTAGTAGGCGCTTACAAACGTTTCACGCCAAAACTGACCGACTGTACTGCGTTTGGCGCAATGCGAGAAGTATTCATGCAGTCTTGTAGGCGCTAATATGGGCCTTGCGCCAACCGCACTGTTTGGCGCAATGCGTGAAGTATTCCTATAGTCCTGCAGGCGCTAATATAAGTTTACTGCACTGTTTACGCACTGTGTTCGGCGTGATTATTCGAACTCGTGTTGGAATAATTGCGGCATCGAATAATAGAGCTTAAAAGTCCCATGATGTGTTTCGACGCCGTGTGAGCATGTCAGCGTTGCCTCGTTTCTCCCGGTTAAATATTTTTTCCGAGAAAAGTCAGGAAAGCTCTTCGTACCCACGACCATTATTCAATCTTTTTTATTCATTTATCATCAGAGGGTAAGACATCGATGATTTGTCAACACACTAACTAGTGTTAACATAAAACTGCGTTTATCACCCAACTGTTTCCTGCTGTACCAAACTTCTACCTTAGATTAACTTCATTTTAAATTCATTAAATATTAAAATCTCTCGGTACAGAGAAGAAAAATCACAGTAGTTTTAAAGAATTGCCGTGGAGTAGTTTTCCGTTCAAAAAATGAAGTATGACAGGAAGTCTGCGACGTCGCAAGCCGGGTTATGTGATTGCCGACTTACACCGTCGATATGCACTGTATTAAAATTTACACAATTATTTTCCTTTATAAAAGTAACAATTTTTTGGTCGGAAGCAAAAACCATTTGCCATTCTGGAAGATTTTTTGATAATTATGAAGAAGCAACATTATTACAGCACTGTAATGGAGATGTTGCATGTGTGAGGAATTTGCGATTTGTTCATTGATTCTTATGTGAAAGTTGGCGAGAAACACGATGGTGCCACTGGTTTTCTCTGAAATCAACTCTCAAGCTCAAAAAAAGCTCTCAAGTTGAGACCAAAATGGAGGGGATATCCCACGCTATCCTGAGAGTCCACCTCTCCATCAAGATGAACTCTCCATGCAAAAATAAGGAGCAAATACATTAGCAATGATGCCGTGTTTTCAGTTTTTCCCCAAATAAAGTGGCAGCCCTGTCAATGTCTTTGCTCCCTATCTTCACATGGAGAGTTTGTCTTGATGTAGAGGTGGACTTTCAGGATAGCGCGGGATATCCCCTCCGTTTTGGCCTCCTTTTGAGAGCTTTTTTTGAGCTTGGGAGATAATTTCAGATAAAACCACTGGCACCAATCGTGTTCCTCGCGAACTTTGACATAAGAATCAACAGTCAAATCGCAAATTCCTCACACATGCAACATCTCCATTGCGCTGGTATCTTTTTAATGCGATCTGTTTAAACTTTTGGATGGAGTACTTACGAATCAGCTCCTCTGCACGGTCTGCCTTCAAAGAGATGTGCCGGAAATTTGAAATTTCTTCCTTCGGTGGAAACGGGCTCACAACGGTCACATTGTGGCCGCGATGGGCCAGAGACAGGAATATTGGCTCAACTTGAACGTAATGGCTCCGGATTGGGTTTGGCAGGAACACCAGGATGTTGTGAGCGGCAACGGAGGAGTCATAAGTCAAGCGGAGGGATAGAAGTAGAATCCGGAACATCATATTTTGCGGTTATTCGAATGCCGCACACAGTATATGCACGGAGCGATAAAAGCGCATTAATTTCGTGAAATTCTAAAAACGAGTGATTTTTTTCTGTTTTCAAAATGCGTCTAGCAGAGAGGAACCAAGCCACATTAGCTATTGCCAAAAAATGGGCGATTTAATTTTCTATACAAGAGAAATCATGCGCAGATTTCTTTGAAAATTTAGGACATTCGTTTCGCTCTATGCAGAAAGTTCACTAATATTTGCACAAAAATCTGCACAACCGTTTCCATATATAAAAAATCAATTGCCCAATTAAATTTGGCAATAGCTGATGTGACTTGGTTCCTTTCTGCTTAACGCGGTCCAAATAGTATTAATGTCTTTGAAGGGGGAGGGGGGTGTTCATACGTTAAGACTTCTTAAAATCTTCATTTAAACCTAATTTATTTGCACGTGTGTCCAGTGAATTCAGTCCAGCATGCAGTATGCAAATCAACTGATATTTTAGAAAAATTAAAATATTGATTATTGACATGAAAGCTATAATCTATTAAATTAAGTATGCCGTGTATAAAGTATTATGAGAGTTAAATTTTTCGTCCAACAACACTGATTTGAAAGATGCTCAAAGCTATAATGCCTCCGATCATTTAATCTAATCTAAACCTGTTTTCCTCAAAATTACAAACACTTCACTCAACGCAATTACTACGTTTTATTTTATTAATCTATCTTAAAGATAAAGAAAGAATTGAAAATCATTGTCTTGCGTTTTAATTTTAATTAAATGATATATGAAGTCAGTCGTAGCTTTGAATTTAATATAATAGAATAAAATACATTTTTACGAGGGAACGGAGGAAAAAGAGAGCTACATCTTGGGGGGGGGGGGTATAATTTTCTATTATTTGGCGCAAAGTATACCCAAAAATTGGCTCTTCGACAGCAATTTAAAGCTTAAAAACCAGAAACGGGATAGTCGGAAAAAGGCCGTCAAAGTTTGCCGGCTGTGCAGTGTTGCCAGCTTTGAAAACAACAGTTCACACACAGTTCTGTAACATCATTAAAAGTTCGAACTATAGCTTGAAACTTTGAACCTATGTTTTTGAAAGCATTAGAAAGTGTTGGGCATCGAAAATTCAAAATCGATAGTCTTGATAAATCGGGTTTGAGTTTTTATACCTTCAGGCAAATTCTTTTCGACTCTGCCATAAGAGCCTTTCTCAATTTCTATTTATTTTCGAAAACAAAAAATCACCAAATCTCAAACTGAAAATGAAACTTTGATTATCCAAACCGATTGACACCGCATAGATCACTTCACACTTTATCAACTGAATAACTGAAACGCGCCATATACCCACTAGCATTAAATATTTATCTTTAATTATTACAAATCAAACACTTTTGCTCGCACTATCGGTGAAACATTGTACGTTGCTTGATTTAAAAGCGCGTTGGAGAAATTAGAGAACAAATTTTGGCACACTAGTTCGATCAGAAATGTAAGTTCATCGTACTATCATATCATGTGTTTATCAAACATTTTATTAATGAGCTTAATTACCCAAACGTGCGGGGGAGGGGGGGACAACCTCCCGATTAAGCAGTTATGGCAAATACATATCGTCTCACGGTTAGTATTGTTTTGAACCTGCTTTCGATAATTTTTACAAATAAAAAAGGCAAAAACTTCTCAACCAAATAGTAACAAAATATAAATTTTATTTTTGAGACTCCAACGACGCACTTATAATTGCCAAAACTATTCACCGCTGTAGCGGTGGGGAGGGTGAACTGATAATACTAATCTTGGCACACGTGCAAAAATTACTGTTATCGGCCAATATTACCTTCGGGGGCATAAAGCTAGTAACCGCGCCCCCCCCCTTCTTCACCTCCGCAACAGAAAAGTTGTGACCGTATGTACTAAGCCACTCAATATCATTAGACTCATTTGCATGGCAAATCTGCCATGCTAGGGGAAAACGCCGTATGAGCTCTAGGCGTTGCCAAATTTCCTCTGGAAAATCACTAATTTTCAGGAAAATTTTTTAATCTTTGTCTACCAATTTCGCGGGTAATTTTGTTTGTAATTTGATCTAAAACGTCTGAAAATTTCAAGGGAGAATATTCATAATTTTCCTAAAAAATAAACATTTTATCGAAGGAAATTTGGCAACTCTCGAATGTTCTTACGGCGTTTCTTCCGTAGCGCGGCAGAAATGGACTATACATTTGGCAAAAAGGACTCGCTATTTCTGGGTCATTCGTTGAAAGCGCCTATCTGCATACGGCAACTGATGGCACAGGTGGATGGCATAATGCAAAAAGAAAGCAGATGGAAGAGTGCCTAGTTTCGACCTTGACCTGTTTTTTGGAAACTACGCGTAAGTGTCCATAAGAACTTGTCGGCAGATACGCGGTGATTGAGTAATTCAAGGAATACGTACTTACGCTGTTTATACTAATATTTAGTTCTCGTATTAAGGATATGATCGATTCAACTTCGACACTTCTATCGAGTCACTTCGACTATTAGTCCATACACTGGAAAAAAACACATTGGATGTCATGGAGTCCAGACTCTTGAAAACATTGACAAGAAAAAGGACTCTTGATTCAAGCAGATTTAAGCTTAAATCAAAAAAAAATCTGCTCAAATTAAGAGGCTTGGTTCTTGATTCAAGCTTAAATCAGATTGAATCAAGAGTATTTGTTCTTGTCGATTTTTTAAGAGTGTGTGGACTCTAGATCCAATGTGTTTTTTTTCCCAGTGTACGGGTCTAAAATACTCTAAATTTCTATAATTATCCCAAACGGATCGTTCATAAAATTCGTAACGCTCTAGCGGAGAGGGGAAGGAGAGCGTTACGCAAATTGGTTTTTCAATGTAAAGGATAGGAACCTACGTTAACAAAAGCGTTACAAGGGGGAGGAGGGGCGCAAAATCCGAAATTCAGCGTTACGCACATGAACGGCCTGCGTTAACGTCTCATTCGATTCGATCTAAAAGTCACTTGATTTAACTTGTTTTCAATATGGGAACAAAATATCAGCAGTTAAAGTTTTCGCAGAGTTTTCTTCGGACAGGGAAGGAAAATCTCGGGAGTTTTCAAGAGTTGAAGTTGAGTAGTTTTCCATTTAATAAAATATGACAGGAAGTCTGCAACGTCGCAAACCGACATACTTAGTTTGGTATTTTCGCCGTTGAAATAGTTATTTCCAACTAGGAAAAAACACTAAAAATGTGGCCCGAACTATATGTAACAGCGCGGTGAAGGAGTGTACAATTTTGCGAGGAAAGCAAGGCCGAATTTTTCACTCAGATTGACATTTTCGGAATTTTTTGGCCTCGCTTTCCCCGCGAAAAAGTGTGGACCTAGCACTGTTTTACCACCTTGTTAGTTTTAACAGTGCATCAGGCAACTGAAACCACACGTCTTTTGTTTGCGGCGTGTCAAAATTTATCTGCTCTCACGTCACAAGTTGTTTTAAAGCACGTGGATATTTTAGCACGAGATTTTTAGAAAATACTCTCACGCAAGTAGCGGTGATCGCGATAAATAGCGATTTTACCGGTTGGTTATCGCGATCATACCGGCGGCAATATATTGAGATCTTATCCCATTAAAAATTGCGATACATGGCGATTAAATCCCTATACATCGCAATCTTCGGTTCGATAAAATCGTGATCAATTTTCGTCGATAAAATCGAGATTAATTCGCCATTTATCACGATTTTTATTTCGAAAATATCACGATAAATTGTCGAGCTATAAAAGCGCGATTTTATCGCGATAAGATCGAGGATAATCGCTTAGATGCTGATGATCTTGGCGATTTTATCGCCGATAAAATTGCAATATATAGAGATTTTTCCGTTCAGAAATGCTGCTTGGGTAACGAAGGATTTACACGTAGACACATACTATTACGTCGAAACCGTTGGTCCGTTTGCCAACTTTTATCTCATATTTCTGAAAGCATCGAAATGGGATGCATGACTTGAGGGCGAAACGAGAGCGTAAGTTTGCAGTTTTTTCTAAATTTAAACTGGAGACAAATTAATTTTTAATGACTTTTTCTGGCAGGAATTCGAACGCAATATTCCACGCACGTCATCATGAGGTTTGCTGAAATTTTTTCCGTCCGTTTAGTGCACAATGACGTCAGGCACCGACAGGATTGTCATAATTTCTTTATCTTTAAATTCCCTGACTGATTTTGCTTTTCCCTGACTTCAAAATTTTTGGATTCCCTGACATTCGAATAAAACTTCCACTTCGTTTTTTTGCTTTGTTTTTTTGTTTTGTTTTAATTACACTTGCTTCTGCTGAACGCTAAATGAAGTGAGTTCCCAGATTTTCTCTGAATTTTCTCAGTCGCCGCAACTTCCCTGACATTCTCGCTTTTCCAGGTCTTCGGCAACCCTGCACACGCGCGGAAAGTTTACAAGTATTTTTCATCTTTAACTTTCCTACGTTGTAAGTCATACACATAGAAAAGAACAGCTTCATAATATTCATACTTTTTTTCTCGGTTTTTGGAACTTGGGAGCTGTGCATATGTGATATGTACAATTTTTTTTCACTTTTTCAAGTATTCGTTCTCGTCATATAAAAAGATCCCCGACCCGCAATTTTAATTTTTTGTCACAATTGGATTACATTTTGCAATAAGGAACCAATATCGACGGTGAAACTACCAGACCACGTATCTCGTTTGCGGTGTTTAAAAATCTTCACTCAAATTTTATTTTTTTGAAGGAGAACAAATCAATATCATTCCTTACAATTTTCACAGATTTTTCTCCGCACGAGGAGGAAAAATCACGGAAGTTTTCACGAATTGACGTTAAGTAGGTAGTTTTCTATTTAAAAAATAAAGTATGACAGGAAGTCTGCGACGTCGCAAACCGAGATACGTGGTTTGGTAGTTTCACCGTCGATATGTATGGTCCATTTTAGAAACAACATACATGCCACTGGTTTCCCTATGCAGATTTGTGCTTTTTTGGGAGAGCCAGAGATATGATTCCTTATTGCAAAGTGTAATCCAATTCGTACTCTAGATCTTTGAGGCCGATTTTTCTTGATTTTCGGTTCCATAGCCTACTTCTAGATGAGCTACTTTTCTTCAGGTTTTTGAAGAATTGCCCTCGTGAGCTCACAGTGTTTTTTTTGTGTTAGGCCCAAAGACATAAAGACGGAACGCTAGAAGAAGAAAATGAAGCAACCTCTCCTATTGGTTAGATACTTGAGAAAAACTAACTTTATCTGAGATTCCTGTAAGATTTCTCCTTGTTACCAGGCCGAAATAGGTTTATTTTAAAAATTCACAATCCCAACTTCATTTATTTGTTCGTTTTAGGCAAATAAAACGAGATAAGAAGAAGAAACGTTGAAAAATCAAGAGGACAAATTCAAATCAAATTCGTTTCCCGCGCATTGATTCATAGCAACTTTATCCGAGATTCCTGAAGGGTTCCTGCTTGTTACCAAGCCAAAATAGGTTTTTCATAAAAATTCACAATCCCAACTGTATTTATCTGTTCGTTTTAGGCATTTAAAATGAGATTCGAAGAAGAAATAAGGAAAAATGAAGAGGACAAGTTCAAATCAAATCGTTTCCCGCGCATGGACTCATAGCGCCAGAATGGCTTCACTTCTTTCCCGTGCTTTTAGATACGAGCACTCCATCTTTATGTCTTTGGTTAGGCCACGTAGTAATCTTTAGGTTAGGTTTTTTTTTTTTTTTTTATAGTAGTACTCTTTCACCACAAAAGCAACCGCGTCAAAAAGGTTCAAACACCGCAACAGAGATACGCATTTTTGCAGTTCAACCGACGTCTGATTGGATTAGAAGCAGAAAAAAATTACCACGAACCGATCACGGTTCGACGCAAGAGTCGTTCAGACGGAGTGTCGTTGATTTTACTGAGCCGTACTTCTCATCCTGATAGGGTTGCAGTGAAAATCATGTTTTCCAGGGAAAGCTGTCCTCGGATGAGCTATTTCCTTCGGTAATAAAAATTTCTGGCCTCTACTAAAGCAAGACAAGTTGGCAAAATCACCAACACTCCACTCCGTCTGGAAAAAAATTAATTGCATTTTCCACCGAAAACCGAGGTTATCAATACGAATATTCGTTTTATATGATAGGGAATGTTGTCGCGATCATGTGCACTTGGTGGCAACTCGGTATACTCATCAGCACTTGTAAATTATTTTAAAATTGAACGTGTGTCTATTTCACGCATCTCTTTCCTCAATGAAGTAAAACTATCGTAATCACTGCGTTTGCCTCTCATCCTTAAAAAAAAATAAAAAAACCAAAATGACATCGCACTCGTCTGAAAACATGTCTATCGTGGGTTGACGTCCAGTAGTATGGAATATCATGCCGAATCTAGTGTCTCGAACGATATTACTTCTCACGGTGAGTGTGTAAAAACTCTTACTTTTCGAAATCCAGCTTGAAAAACCCGA